TTGAACTATCAGCGACTGTATCTTGAGAAGTATTAAATATCTTGTAACGATACTTGAACCATCGGTGAATATACCTTGTGTTGATGTTTGGGGTATGGTTGAATATATCTTGTGTCGATGGTTGAGCTATGGTTGAATATGTCTTGAGCTGATGGTTGAGGTATGGTTGAATATATCTTGTGTCGATGGATGAGGTATGGCTGAATATATCTGGTCTCGATGGCTGATGTATGGTTGAATATACCTTGTATCGACGGTTGAAGTATGGTTGAATATACCTTGTTGACCGTTGAGGTATGGTTGAATATATCTTGTTGATGGTTGAGGTATGGTTGAATATATCTTGTGTTGATGGTTGAGGTATGATGGAATATACCTTGTGTCGATGGTTGAGGTATGGTTGAATATAACTTGTTGATGGTTGAGGAATGGTTGAATATACCTTATATCGATGGATGAGGTATGGCTGAATATATCTGGTCTCGATGGCTGATGTATGGTTGAATATACCTCGTATCGATGGTTGAGCTATGGTTGAATATGTCTTGAGCTGATGGTTGAGGTGTGGTTGAATATACCTTGTATCGATGGTTGAGGTATGGTTGAATATAACTTGTTGATGGGTGAAGAATGGTTGAATATATCTTGTTGATGGTTGAGGAATGGTTGAATATATCTTGTGTCGATGGATGAGGTATGGTTGAATATACCTTATATCGATGGTTGAGGTATGGCTGAATATGGTAGAATTGGTATTCCTTGACTTCTTTTCAGTAGTATATATTCTGGGCTGTGGGTGAATATCTGTCATATGCCTCACATTGCGGTAACGGTTGTCTCTGTCGCTGTCATTAATCAATGACATGAAACAAACAGGACATGTCCATTGTGACAGCATACATTACAATCGGAACCCCGCTGTTCAAGAGTTGAACACAATGTTTTGCCACGGATTTTAACATGCATGCATGTCGATCAAAATAGAATCAATACAGTAGATGATGGTTTTCCTGCTCTGATGTACGACGTTACGTACAATGTGTCGCTGCATGGGTTTGTTCACTGGGAAGATTTCCAACGATAATTGATCGTTAAACGTAGATCGTGGTTTTACATATTTTGCTCCCAACAACATCAATAACGTATTTGTAGACCTGTGCCTGAGCAAAGTGCGCATAATATGGGATCTAGGACAACGTGTAGAACAGTCTAATATTTGATTATATGAAATTATATTTAATATGAGTTGGTTTACAAATGTTTTGGCCTTAAATTCAATTTAGTTTTTTTGTTTGTTGTTTAACGCTGTACTGAGCAATATTCCAGCTATATGATGGCGGTCTGTAAATAATCGAATCTGGACCAGACAATCCAGTGATTGACATCATGAGCATCTATCTATGCAGTTGGGATACGATGACATGCATCAACAAAGTCAGCGAGCCTGACCACCCGATCCCGTTAGTCGCCTCTTACGACAAATATAGTCACCTCTTACGACAAGCATGGGTTGCTGAAGACCTATTCTCTACCCTTCAATTTAGGTGGTCGGAATAAAATACTTTTCAACTACAAGATTAGTACTCCTACTAATGAATGGAAAACAAACAAGTTCTAATATGGCAAGATCCCGAAAGATAATTTATTGTGTTTTTGTTTTGTTAGAATAAAGATTTTGTATACGTATTTTTTTCCATTTCTTACGAACAGCGGTGATAAAATCTGGTAGGTTTTGTACGTATTTTATCTGATTTTAAAATAGTGTCTGGCAAAGGTCATTATATTCGAATTTCTGTTGGCTTTTGTCAGTCGGTTTCGTAAATCAACTAAAAGGTATAAGGCCTATTATATTTTTTTTTAAGTTACCCGGATCACCTCTTTTTCGTCATATTCTGTTTCACTGAAGCGCATAACTAGAATAGGCTCTCTATAGATTTTCATTTCTTTAAATTCAAACAAATTCAAAATCAGCCTATAGCAATTGTTGTCTTCTATAACACACATTACACTTAAATGCCTGGATATTTCCATCATCTAGCTATGTTCAGCAGTTTCAAATAGATAGAGACTTTATATGTCATTTTCCTTTGGTCGCCATCACGCATTAAATCGGCATGTGCAATGAACCAGAAGTATCTATAAATTTGTACGTTTTCTTATATGATGGCGGTCTGTCAATAATCGAGTCTGGACCAGACACTCCAGTGATTGATGCAATTTGGACACGATGACATGCACTGACCACCCGATCCTATTAGGCGCCTCTTAGGACAAGCATGGGTTGCTGAAGACCAACTGTAACCCGGATGTTCACATGTTTCTAACTTCATTGTTATCCTGCCTAGCGCTCGACATTAAGGGGACAAAACAAGGACTAGTCGGCTCGGTGTTTGAGTGGGTTGTCCATATTAAACTGCGATATGGTATCTCAGAGAGCAAGCACTATAAAACCGGCATAAACTAATAAAAAATAAAAGGCTTCCCTTGGCTACGGTGGTTGAATAAATCATTTTACAGCATCACTTCAAAGGGAAGTGAATTGCTCGGAATGATGACACGTTTGAATGATGTCTTGCTCAACGTTTGATGCACTTTGGCATGCACTCACAATACATTAAATATGTAGGTGAGGTGAGGTGAAATGTGGTTTAACGTCGCGGCCAAGATTATTGCACTTATATAGTGACGTGCATGCAGGTGTTTGTGTGTGCGGCTGCTTGTACCAGTCCGAACAGATGCCGATTTATAGTGCTAGCTCACTGAGATACCATGCCCAGTTTAACAGGAATACCCCACTCAGACACAGTATACTGACTATGAGCCGACCAGTCCTTATTTTAGCCCCTTAATGCCGAGCGCCAGACAGGGTAACAACAAGTACAATCTTTTACCATCTTTTGGAATGACACGGGCGGGGATCGAACCCCGGACCTTCCACTCTACAGGCGGACCCTCTACCACTAGACCACAGAGGCGGTCCATTAAATATGTACGTAGTAATAAGAAAATGTGTTGTTGGAGAACTTTCTGTCCATGAACAAGACTGGAGGAGTTATCTCCCTTGTCGTGGCTGGGATTTTTGTTTTGAGAAAGAGCAATCTCATTAATATCAGATCTTAGATCTCGTTATGCTAAACAAAGTTTCGCGGCAGCGAGAAGTTAGATCTGATTTTAATGAGATTGGAGATAGAGTGAGTGTGAGTGAGTTTGGTTTTACGCCGCTTTTAGCAATATTCCAGCAATATCTCGGCGGGGGACACCAGAAATGGGCTTCACACATTTTACCCATGTCGGGAATCGAACCCGGATCTTCGGAACCCGGATGAGCAAACGCTTTAGCCACTAGGCTACCTGAATATTTCAAAACTTACAAACGGTTAGCAATTATTTTTATCAGTTTTTTTCTAATATTAGAATATGAGCAAGTGTTTGACCCTCGCTGACTTTCTTTTGAAATGTAAACATAGCAGTACAAAAATGTTCAAATAGGGTCACAGATTTGATCATCTTTAGATGTTCTAAAGTGAAACAAAGAGCCCCTTTTTTAATACTTGTATAGTACAAAACTTGTCAGTGTAAGAAAGTGTAAAGAAATGTGTGATTTTTTTTTATTTCAATATGTCAAAGTTTTCTGCAATTTTACTATTCTCGTGAGCCAGTTAGGGCCCTTAATCTACCTAGTACTATTGACACACGCAGTACATAAATTTGCGAGGCGGTCAGGCAGCCTAGTGGTTAAAGCGTTCGCTCTTCACTCCACAGACCCGGGTTCGATTCCCGACATGGGTACAATGTGTGAAGCCCATTTCTAGTGTCCCCCACCTTGATATTGCTGGAATATTGTTAAAAGCGGCATAAAACTATATTCACTCACTCACTCACTCACATAAATTTGCAGTCTGGCTTTAAATAAATAAACCAACCATAGAATCAAAACAAAAAGAATAAATTAAGATTTTATTTGGCATTTTCAATGGTAAGTCAGTTAAAGATGATTGTGTTGTGTTCAGTGGAATATCTCATGGTTACTGTGGGTTCTCATTTAATAAAATGAACCCTTGGCATGATTATATATATTTAACAAATAAATTAACTTTTCCATGTTCTCAAGAAGACTAAAAAAACATTTACATGTGCCTGGTTTCTAAAACCTATTAAAAAAAGCCTATTGGCAATTTAAAATGAAATATAGAATTTGACAAAATTAACCATGGAAATTAAAAAGGTCCATGTAAAATGCTAAAGCAATTTGATAATCACCGACAGCTGTCAAATATGGATAAACTACTCAAAAGAAGTTAAAGAACACACAATCTGTTAATGACTATAGTTCATCTGACATGGTCAGGACCATGATAGCGGTCAACCATCATGATTAGGGTCATATGAAACAACTGGATGTTCTTTAAGTGCTCTGGAGTAGAATATATTACAAGTGATGCAAAACTGAACATCATCTTAATAGCATCATGTGAACCTATTTGGAAGTGCACCAGACGAAGCTGAGCCTAGAAGAAAATAATGCTGATGACTTCAGTAAACATAAAATGAAACTATCAGGTCACATTTAGACCTTAATTTCTTCTCTTTAACTCTGACACTTCTTTTGACATTCAATTCAATATTTGTTGAATAATACAACATGGAATATGGATTGGAATGTGTTAAATGATAAAACAACAGACATCTGGTTAATTCTGGCATGTGAGAAGCATAAGGCTGATTAAGCATGTTAAGTAGGGCTGGTATATTTCTATCAATCAATGACACTCCATTGTCACACAAGGACAATATCCCACCAATGCAAGTATATATTGTGTTTACCAGGTATTCATGAATTCCCCCAATGTTGGTTGGTTGGTTGGTTTGTTGTTTAACACCGCACTCAGCAATATTCCAGCTATATGACGGCGGTCTGTAAATAATCAAGTCTGGACCAGACAATCCAGTGATTAATGTCATGAGCATCGATCCACACAATTGGGATCGATGACATGCATCAACAAAGTCAGCGAGCCTGACCACCCGATCCATTTAGTCGCCTCTTACCACAAGCATAGTCGCCTTTCACAGCAAGCATGGGTTGCTGAAGACCTATTCTACCCCGGATCTTCACAGGTTCCTTCAATGTGATTAAAACAGGTAAAAATGGGTTAAAACATATAAAAATGAAGTGGCTGCAGTTGAATGATCATGTGATAAGAATTCTAAAAGGTGACAGCTAAAATTGCAGCTCAGCCTAGCATCAGTCCCAGCTAGCTGTTGAAGAGTTGGGCGGCTGATTTTTCCTTCTATGCAAGTCTGATTTATTAAAGTTTCTTGGATCAAATTCTTTCCAGAGTTTTTCAAACTCCTTCTGGTATGCTACGACAAAGTCAGGGTTGTTTGTGATGAGCAGATTCTCCTGGTTGCCTGTGATGGCGATCCTTGTCCAGTTGAAGGAACCATTGATGAGAATCTTCTTGTCCACAATAACAAACTTGTGGTGCATAAAGAATGATGAATGATCAGTCCGAACACTGATACCTGCAACAATAAAGGAACATCACATAAAACAAAGCTTCATCTTAAAATGCCTCCTAAACTTACATTGTTACAATAGCTTTACTGGGGCGGTCAGGTAGCCTTTTGGTTAAAGCGTTTTGCTCGTCACGCCGAAGACCCAGGATCGATTCCCAACATGGGTAAAATGCCCCCCCCCGCCGTGATATTGCTGGAATATTGCTCAAAGCGGCGTAAAACCATACTCACTAACTCACTCACTCATTAGCTTTACTTGCTATCATGTAATAGGTCTTCAGCAACCCTTGTTTGTCGAAAGAGGCGACTAACGGGATTGGGTGGTCAGGCTCGCTGACTTAGTTGATATATGTCATCATATCCCTATTGCTGAGATCGATGCACATGATGTCAATCACTCTATTGTCTGGTCCAGACTTGATTATTTACAGACCGTTGTGATATAGCTGGAATATTGTTGAGTGTGGCATTAAACAACAAACGAACAAAACACAGGAAGAGTTGAGTTGAAGATGGAGTTGGAAATCATGTGACATTGTGACATTCAAGAATATCAATAGGTAATGTCTAAATGACTAAGCAACATATAACCAAATTTTGTGGCCATTTTCACTAAAATATGGGGTCATTGCCTCCAAATTGTCTGGGGTCTTTTTCTCCTGCACCCCTAAGAAAAAACTCAAGCCCTTTGGTCACAGAACATGAGTCTATGCAGCAGCTATACTTCGGTATTCTCTCCCTTACAACATCAACAGTCTCCCTTCCTCTTTCAGTCAGTCCTAAAACCTATGTCTTCAGATGTCACTACTTCCAATCTATTCTTAATCTCTAGCTTTGCTTTCAATTTCATGCATTAATTAAAGGGGCACTGATCTAACGCAATTCCCCGGGACTGGTTGTTGCCTTTGTTATTGTTTTTTCCCAGTGAGTACCCGGATGTATAGCAGAAATCTAGACTAGTTCGCGACCTCTGCTGCGCCATTCGTAAGCGCATTAGTCACTTTTATGGGTAGTAATAAGGGCGTATGGTCACATTGATCAACAAAATGAAATACAGTTTTCGAGATAATAAGGAAATGTAGGTATCTTTGTGGGTAGCATCGGTAATGGTGACGAAGTTTTGATAAGTCACTTGCTTGGTAATTTTGCGATTTTCGTTTACACTATTTTGACTTGCATCACAAAGTAAATATTTCACCTGAGCATTGCTTTTTTTATAGTGTGTATATTTTTTTACTGTCAAATGGGTAACAAATTTATTAAACGTCTAAATATTCAGTTATTTTACAAAGTGACTGAAAAACATTTCCATCTGTATTATTATGATAACGAATTCCAAACATTTTGATGTATAATGTCATCACCAAGAGACTGAAAATGTTACGTTGAAAAGTACATTTCTATGTTGTTTGGCTTCTAATCCTACATAATAATCTGTTGTGATGTTTGTAGGCCCTTTTGATCGTCTTAATCAATCTGGGCAGATTTTTTAGTCAAAATGACTGAAATATTTACACATTTTATAAATTGCCTGAGAGAATCACATTTTACAAATTGACGGTAATATATACACGCTTACAAAGGAAAGGACCTGTGAAAACAACGTCTATCGCGCATTGAAGAATTTCCCAACCAAGACGTAGAGAAACAAGAACGAATCTGTTCAAATGAAGGAAAACAAAATGCAAATTTCATAATTACAACCTACCAAATTTATGTGTATAAATTTTAGGTAGCTTCCTTGTTCGAGGAATGTATCCGTGAATATCCACACAAAGCAACAATATCCCACTCGTCTGCAGCTGTACAAAGAAACTTATTCGATGTCACGTGTCTCAGTAACAATCAAATATTTTAAAAGATATATACCGTTTCGGGATATTATAAGCCGTGTTCGTTTCTCAACTGATCACTTGGATTGTTTCAGGTGTTTTACATAGGTGTCAAGTATCAATGGTCGGCTGAGAAAGCCCACGTGACAACTATTTTCATAACGTCCACGGTTCCTAAAAAATCCATTGAGTGATAGCTAACAATGATCAATCAATCAACGTATTATCAGTTAACCCTTTGAACAAAGTATGTTGTTTTTACATCGGCACTTCACACCATGATATGAGTGTATTCCCTTTGTTTTAGTAAACCTAGACATGTAAACAATCTCTCTTGACATATCCACTGTACAAGATAACAGTGATTAATCAATCAACGTATTTTCTGTTAATCCTTTGATGACTAGGAACGATCCGTTGATTTACAAAAAACGTAAATCAACTGATCATTCATCTCTCGCTGGGCTGCCACGTGCATATTACATAACACACATTTCACCTCACTTCAAACCTGGATTTAGATTGAATAATTACCCCAGACACAATAAATGCCAAATGGGAACCTTTGTCAGGTAATCTAAGTGGCGCTACCACTAATTGTACCTGTAATAAATTCATTAACTGAGCATCAAGTGAATGACGACAAATACACAAGTGTAGGGTTATACGAGAAAACGTGGATGACAACAAGGGAGTAGTAATCGTATTATCGCCGCAAGCCGAAATCCGAAAATGCTTTCACTGCATGGATACTTTTTTTAGTATTAAACTATAACCATCTGGGGTATTTCCAAAAGACGACATCCGATGAGCTCCGCTGTTCTTTTTGTCTGTTTGTTTAGGCTGAAGAAATTAATTAACATGCGCCCTTTGTCGAAATCTCTATAGATCACAGTTAACCAATCAGTGTTTATGCAAAAATGCGTAAAACAAATATTGCCTCCAGCCTCCAAGTTTATTTAGCTGTCCTTGCAGACGGTAGCCCAGTCTCTGGTCACGCTCAGTTGCGTTGCGTATCATCCGGGTACTCACGGGGGAAAAAACAATAACAAAGGCAACAACCAGTCCGGGGAATTGCGTTAGATCAGCGCCCCTTTAAGTAGTATTATAAGCATGCACTTGAGGGTGGATATGGAACAAAAGAAATATCCTTTATTATTGTGAAGAAATTATGTGTCGTATTTTATGGCTGTTTGATGATTAAAATTTCAATTTTATGATCCATACCAATCAGCAATAACTGCATCAGTACCCTAAAAGTGTAACATTTTACAAAAGGCATTAATTAGTCTTAGAAGGAAAATCCACTTGCCAAGTCATCTTACATATAAAAACATCACCTAAAATATACCTTTAACGATGAGGAAACTAGGTGCTAGTATCTACCCCTGTAATGTTTGAACCTGACACTTGAAATTATTGGGTGTGGCATTCTATGATCATGCTGATCGTGAGTGAGTTGGGTTTAACTCCGCTTTTAAAAGTATTCCAGTTATATCATGTTGTGTCAGCTTCATGTGGGAGGAAAGCCCAAAGTGATGCTGGTTTCAGACGTTTACCACTTTGGTGAAACCCAGGAGCACGAGTACGGTGCTGACAAACCTAGAACTGGGATTCAAACCCACATAGGTTTCTAACATGACAAAGGGACGAAACTCTGCATGGCGAAGCGCGGCGCCTTAGACGACTGGGCCCCCGATCATGCTGATATATGAAATTGATAACGTTGATAAATGTTAATCAAACTGTTGGATGCACACCTTCTTTCCTGAATCGCCATATTTGTGAACCCGGCATCTCCATCTGTTCATCATCCGTGATAATCCTGACCATCTTCCCTTGCTTGTGCAGCTGAATCAGTATGTCTGCCAGATCCTTACAACATATCACAAACACACACACATCTAGACTGTGTTCAGCCCTGCCAAGGTGCTTGTAGAGTTCACTGAGCGATGTGTCCTTGTGGGAATATCTGCAGTTTACATGACTACAGCCTTCTCTTGTTTGAAAGTGAGCCTTACAAGCTACTTCTCTGTCAGGGAAGAATAAAACTTTTGAAAATTGGTTCTTTTCTTTCCTTCGTGTTCTCCACCATGTCAAACCTTGATAGATAATCTCTGTTAACACTCCTATTGTCAGCGTCGTTCCAAAAACGAAAGCGCTTTGAATAATGAAGGATCGATCAGGCATTCTTAATGTGTGTATCACCCAGTGAGAAACAATATTTTTGACGTACTGTACAACCTTGTCACGTGGGAAAGGGGAAAGGGGATTTCCCACTCAAAACACGATTCGTACTAGATACGAAAAACAAATCGACTAGAAAAAGAAAGTTTATCTATTTGTTTGCAACTCTTACTAACATCCGCATTATAGTATTTTGCTATAGCATGGGACTATCATATGATTATGATTTTGGATATTTTGTAACATCTAGAAGAATACATATAAGCTATATATTCGTTTGTGTATACAATGGTATTTCGATAAGCTCTACTTCCGCTTTGAGGTGCTCACTTCCGGTGTGACGTTCACGGTTTACAATGACAGATTCAAGCTCTGTAAGTAACCGCTGATATTCTTTTATTGCATCTTGTAGACGTTCTTCCATTTTAACCGAAACGTGTAGTAAAAGGTCGTTGTGTCATATGTTTGTTGTCTTTAAATCGTGAAATAAACACTCACGATTATTTTGACTAGTGAATGGCGGCGAAAAAGAACCCCAGTTTTCGTGCACTTTTATTCAGTGCGCTATATTTCTTCTTAAAATCTCCAGTCCTACGTTACTCCTAAGTAAAGTGCCTTACTTTCGTGATAAATACTGAGGCATGAATAAACAATGTTGTCATGAAGGACATCTTGTTCTCCAAAATTATGAAGCAGGAAACCAAATCATTGTCAAGCAGATGTGACATGGCAGTCTTGTGAGTGTTGTGTTGTGAATGCTGAATGTTAGGAAAACGTGGTTACATGGACATGATGGATGTGAAACTTTTTCCTGAATCTTCCCACATAATGTCTGGGAAAGATTACCGAATCATAATAGAATGGAGATGTGATATAGTGGAAAATCAAGGATGAATTTTCTGAGGTATCCGGTAAAAGTCAAGCTATTCAGGAATTTTAGTGGTGATTTAATTGCTTTTCTGATTATTTATATAGGTTATTATGGAGGAAACAGAAGTTCCACTGAATTTCGGTGAAGAGGATGAACTGGATCGAAGAAAAAAGTTGAAGTGAGCTATGATCAGATTTTCATTAGCATGTATATCCAACTTTGACGTCATTTTAATAATGACAATGGTGATGTGAGGTGCAGACCTGAACCTTGCAAGGCTTGCTTGGTCTATTTTGAGTGTGCCCACTTCATCAGTTCATGTTGGCTTATAAAATAGCTGTCACTTTCACTGTCAGCCATATATGAGAGTAAAGTACATTTAGACACTGTTTAGGCATATATTTGTTTGGAGTCTATTATTATGTTTCCTGAATTCAAAAAGCCAACCCACTACAGATGTATTTATTGTATGTTTTGTCATTGTCATGGTCATGTTTTACAGGCATCCAGCGGCAGTGTTCTTCCACATGATATTCCGTGGCAGTGCTATTGTTGCATACCTGCTTTGTGGACTGTTCAGTACCAGTTTCATCACAAACTTTGTCGTCATTGTCATTCTACTCTCAATGGACTTCTGGACAGTGAAAAACATTACAGGTAGCTCTGACGTATTCATTGTAGTATCTCCCTGTGGGGATTTCAGGTTAGAATAGGTCCTCTGCAACCTATGCTGGTCATAAGACACAACTAAATGCTGGTCATAAGACTTGGCGACTTGTTGTCTTGTGTGTCATTGTACTCTGACAATGTTGGACGTTGCTTGTAATATCAATCACTGATGTGTCTGGTCAGACTTGATTATGTACAGGCTTCCTCCATGTAGCTGCAATGTTGTTGAGTGCAGCATTAAACAACAAACAAGTATGATCATGAAACACATTATTTTATTTGGCCTTACTTTTTCAGTGGAGGTGAATGTCAAATCATTTCTGCTTTCCATAAAAATAATGGAGCGAAGGCCCATTACTTAAAGGAATGGAGAGTTATGAGAAGATTCCCCTACTTAAAACACATCCCTACTCTTACACCTTGACAAAACATTCCAAAGAGCTATGTACCATGCATTGTAAAGATCATCCAGCGACAGAACTTGGCGCACATGCAACAGCTACAGAGTACGCAACCAACTGTCCATTCCGGAAATGTAGTGGAGCATTCAAACAATAGAATGACGTGACAGATGTGTTTTAAAGTTCCCTCATCAGTACTATTTGTATCATTCTGTATCATTCTGTTTTATGTACTTATCAAATCATCTTTCAAATAAACATAAGCTGTTAAAAATCCTCTTGAACGTGCTGCACATACAATAGAATGTCATCTGTTTTTTCTTTACCATGCATGCTATTCCTCTTTCAGGCAGACTCCTAGTTGGCCTAAGATGGTGGAATTATGTTGATGATGATGGGAAAAGTCACTGGATATATGAATCTCGGAAGGTCAGTTGACATTTGTAATGTACCAATGCGCGGACATCCCACCTAGTATTCAGCCTTTGAAATTCATGCCAGTCTATTAGCCTGAGACTACTAACGGGACAAGAAAAATCCAATAATGGTAGTCCTCATTGACTAGTAGTAGTACCATTTGAGGGTTATAATTCTCAACCAGTTTTCAGTGCTTCAATTTTGCTTCAGACTGGAATTGAATAAAACTGACGGATACTGTAAACATAGTCAACATTTTGTCTTGTTCAACTAGGACTAGGCACAAACTCTGAGGACTAGTGAAGTAAGGTTAACATGAGTCCAAATGGGCAGAAAAAGTAAACAGTAATCATTTGTGTCTTGTTCAAGCAGGATGGGTTACAAACTAGAGATTAGATTAGAGAAATAAAAGTGGACTATTCTTTAAAAAAAACATGCATTTCTGAGGTTGAAGACACCAACCTTGTGTGAAATAATCTTCTTGGTCAGATGTTGTCCTGGGAAGCATAATATCTGATCAAGTAGTACATTTTTAGCCAGATTAAGGTACCACAGACCGTGTGTTAAATATGACTGTGGTGACCATGCAAACTGCAAAATAGGATATTTAGGTATGACACTCACAGATATTGTATGAACACTTCAACAGGACATGTTGCACATATTGTGCAAAAATTACTCACTGGCTTCCCTTTTGCTGGAACCAGACCTTTGCTGATTCGTTTGTAGAAGCTAGCGACTACATCACAAAGCAGCCCTATGTTAGTAAGTATTGACGGGTGAGGGAGGAAATGGTGTACACAAGCCCATGAAGTACTGATGATGCTAACACCCAGACTGTTCACATTTCAGGACAAAGGTGGCAGCAAGGTGTCGGCAGTGGAGTCCAGGCTCTTCTGGCTGTCTCTAGTTATCAGCGAAGTTATTTGGATGATCCTTTTCTTTGGCACAATATTCACCTTTAACCTCAAATGGATTGTAAGTATTGTGTGTTTGTCAATGTTATAGAAAATTACCTTGTGGGAGTAAGTTCAACTGGAAAAAATGTTCATTTCTGTATTGTGTATTAGCTTTCTGTATATTATTCTAAAAAATGAAAAGTAGTAAGATTGTAAAATATTTAGAAATAATAAATTAAAATGTCAAGTCAGATGTGAGAATTTAACACACAAAGTGGCTGATACAGTGATAGTAATCACCATGATCATAGTAATCATAGATAGTATTTAGTTGTGTTTTTGGCAACTACATCTGTGATCACTTTTGGGATGGGTGACACACTAGTGTAAGGCACTGCAGTACACTGTGCAGAGTTGAGTCCCTTGGCTGTGCCAGGATATGATGATCAAGATTTTTGAGCCCAGGTGTTACCCTCATTATCATCTTTGTTCTCTTACATCATACCCAAGTTTGGTTCCAGCAGAAAATGTAACCAGTCCCTTTTAGCATTACTCACACATGAAGATGTCTTGCCATGATATATAACTGAAATATGGTTCAAATTGGAATCATTCTAACTCGGTCGATTGATGAAGCCCTGTTGTTTCCTGTGGAGATTCTCCAAGGAAAGACCTATAGTACCCCATTGTCCAGCTAGTTAAAAGAGGCAACTAGAATTAATTGTCTCACATTTTTGTTTGTTTTTAGATGGTTGTGATAGTGGGAATCATCATGAATGGAGCCAACCTTTATGGATACATCAGATGTAAACTTGGAGCCAAGAAGAAGCTGTCCTCTGTGGCATCAAACTTCCTTGGTGCTCAACTGTTTAGATCTGTAAGTAAACAATATTTGGGTTTGCTGGAGATTTAGCTGCTGTTTTCTGTAGTCTAACCACTGTCTGAATTCATTGCATTAATTGTCCACACCATAACACTGTTGTCAAGATGGTTTTGCAGGGTAACCTATGAGCAATGATGAGTACACACAAATGCTGGTCATAAAGGTGTGTTAAGGTGGTGCCAGGGCAGAGTACTGGTAAATCCCTGTACCTCATGCTTGTTACCATGGTTACAAGAGCTGGGATCGTTGTAACAATATGTGTCATGACTGATTGTGTGTCACACCCAAAACCATGGACAGCAGTACATTATTGCTATTGATTTTGTTTGTCTAAATGTGAATTGTCAAATTTCCTCAATGATGAGTACACACAAATGCTGGTCATAAAGGTGTGTTAAGGTGGTGCCAGGGCAGCGTACTGGTAAATCCCTGTACCTCATGCTTGTTACCATGGTTACAAGAGCTGGGATCGTTGTAACAATATGTGTCATGACTGATTGTGTGTCACACCCAAAACCATGGACAGCAGTACATTATTGCTATTGATTTTGTTTGTCTAAATGTGAATTGTCAAATTTCCTCAATGATGAGTACACACAAATGCTGGTCATAAAGGTGTGTTAAGGTGGTGCCAGGGCAGAGTACTGGTAAATCCCTGTACCTTATGCTTGTTACCATGGTTACAAGAGCTGGGATCGTTGTAACAATATGTGTCATGACTGATTGTGTGTCACACCCAAAACCATGGACAGCAGTACATTATTGCCATTGATTTTGTTTGTCTAAATGTAAATTGTCAAATTTCCTCCTTAAACAAATGCTTAAATTACATTCACTCACTCATAAGAGGCATGGGTGGCCCAGTCGACACACTGCAGAGTTATGTCACTTGGTCACACCAGAAACCTGATGAAAGCTGATGACCGTGGGTTCGAATACTGGTTCGTCCCCATTGTGTTTCTAGGTTTGTCAGTACCATACCCATGCTTGTGGATTTCACTAAAGTGGTAAATTCCTGATACCTGCATCACTTTGGACTTTCCTCACATGTTACACCATGATATAACTGGAATACTGTTAAAAGCAATGTTAAACCCAAATCACTCATAAGAGATTAATGTGTAACCATGGTAACTGTAAATATAAACATTGCTGGTCTGTGTCACATGTTAAAGTGTGTAACAGGATGACTCACTACCCATACTGTAATCATGATGTTTAATCACCAAGTTATTTACTCTCGGTACCATGACACATGTTGTCATGGCAATGCTGTAGTAATGATGTGACGGCAACCTAAATCTCTGCTCATTGCTTCACTCATATATATAGGTGGGGTGAAATGGAGTTTAACATCACGTTCAAGATTATTGCACTTATGCACACGTCTGAGGCTACTTGTCCTAGTCGTGACTAATGCCGGTTATATAGTGCTAGCCGGTTATATAGTGCTAGCCCATGAGATACCATACTCCCAGCCAACCAGACTTGGTTTTATCACCTTAGTGACAAGAACCAGGCAAGGTACCATCTTTTGACATATTGTGGTAAGACAGGGATCAAACCCCAACCTCCCATTGTCCGGGACGACGCTCTATCCACTAGACCTCAGATACGGTCTCACTCATCAGTCAGTGTAACAAGGGTAACTAACAGAAACAGTTGATATTGCAATACACATGTATTTCAGATGTTGTCAACAGCCACAAAGCCTGCAGAGTCATCAGGAGAACAGAAGTGAAGACGTCCGCAAGTGAATATCATGGGAATGTGACAGTTCTATCACTGATGGGCAGTCGTGATACTGTGGCAATGGGCAACAAGTGTTTTAAAAAATCTTGTAGTGGACATATTCCGAAATCCAAATTGGTAATGATGTCTGAAGAAATCTTGTTCCAGCTCAACTTGATTGTACCATCATCATCTATCCATGTTTGTTTGCATACAGAATAAACTACTCAAAAGAAATCAGAGAACACTCCACATGACAGAATAACTATATCGTATAAAAATAAGATTGTTCTTTAACTTCTTTTAAGTACTATGTATGTACTGCCATGTTTTTTGTTGGGAAATATTTTGTGACTTTGTAAATTGTTAATGTATGATTGAATATCACGTCTACTGCTAATCTAAATGTCGAGAACTATCTCCCATCTGTGATGAACAAATTCTGCAAACGCTGGTGTTTTACTCTGCCAACAACCAGTCCTGCAACATGCTGTGTGGAACAATCAGTGTCCAAAATAACTGCCTGGCTGCCTACCCATGGCTGGTAACCTTTCTGTTGGGCTGCATGAAATGTTCCTCCTTCTGTCTTGTAGATGCAATTATGACTACTTCCATATTCAGTTTTATGATGTATATTTATATCTAATACTTCTTGTATAGATTCTCAAGTGATTGTTTGCATTTTTTCAAATGAATCAAGACGTGATTTGTCTCTTATTTTTTGTGATTTTTTAATATTCATAATGTCTGAATACGGGCAGGCAACTTTGAAGATGGGCAGGCAACACTTAAAGGGTAACCTGCCTGACTGTCTTGTTGGGTTTTAAAATGATTTCAAACACACATCCAATTCAGGAACAAGGTAGACACAAGACACTGATAATCATGATGAACATGACATTAAATTGTGATGCAGAGATTGCATGTGAAGATTGATTGGGTGTCATGTATTACACCCCACATGTAGGTGTATTGCCTTGTAGGGAAGTATTGCAAACGAAGACACAAGTCTGACAGTGTCTGAACATGTGGGTGTCCAAAATAATTTCATCGGGATTAACTTGACCAAAAGTGGTGTAGAAATCCGTTATAGCCACACTTCCTTGTTGTATCTGTCATTATTAAGGGTGTGAGGTGTGACCAGTATATCGGTAAATTGAGGTTCATTCTTTCCACGATACATGTCAAAATATAATTTTTTCATGCTCGATAAATCAGGTGATTTCAAATTTGGATTTTTATCAGGTGTTTAATGTTATATACTTGCCAAATGCCTTCGTTGCCCAGGAGCGAGCATCTGGGGCCCCAAGATGGCTGCGTATTTATTGAATGAGTTATTATTTTGGACCAGCATCTTGTTTTGTTCCATTTATGAACTTCAATTCATACCTTAATGTATCAGATTGCTTCTTAATTAAAAGTTTAGAATTATAAATATATCTTGATATATATCACAACACAGCTTTGTGCATTGAAAAATATTGTATTTAATTAAAATTTAGAATTATAAATATATGATATATATCACAACACAGCTTTGTGCATTGAAAAATATTGTATTTATACACTTTAAACCTCCAGGACCCATCCCTAGTGATTGTCACTAGTTTTGGTTGACCAAAGTTGTAGGATATTGACAGGTACACCACGGAAAGCGTGGGTATTTCTGTCACATATCCATGACCTGTCAGGATACAAACAGTTGTGTGTAGGACCACCTGTTTGTGGTACCTGTCGGACCACCTATTTTCTGTATCTGTGCATGTGGGGTTTTGATGTTCATTTGGGGTTTTTGTGTTGTGTCACTGGTTGTATATGTTGTAAATATGTCATGACATCTGTAAATAGAGGACATTCCAGCTTGCATAATCTTGTCCATACTGTTTCACTTTCAAGATCCTTCTTGATTCTGTACATTGGGAGCTAATTTATAATGCTTTTGCATTCATTAAAGAGCAAGATAATGAACATGTGTCTGTGTTATATGCAGTGAAACACACCACACAATACACATGATAGCCTCTCATATGGCAATAGCAGATCTTTGCCGATTGCATGACAAGACACATTATTACAAACAAATTGTAATGGTCCCTTCCTGTCATGGTTTTAAAGCAAGAGCAGCTCAACCTTGCGGGGATCCAGATAGTTTTTGAGCCATTGAGTATTTACTCACGTTATTATTCTCATGTTAATGTATCCCAAATGCGCAGATCGATGTTCATGATGTCAGTCACTGGATTGTCTGGTCCAGACTCGATTATTTACAGACCGCCGTCATATAGCTGGAGTATTGCTGAGTGCGGTGTTAAACAACAAACAAAACAAAAAACTGTAATATACTGAACAAAACAATTTATTGTCATGATTGTAGTTCTATTTTATTTCTCTGACTAAATATACATGCAGACATGAACAGATATTCCAATTTCAAGGTGAAAAATTCAGTTTCATAAATAAATGGTGAAAACCAAATGGTTATTGCACTGCAACTGTCTTCAAGTATTTATCATCATGAACACGTCAGTTTCTGGCTTCGGACACATCACTTTTTTCAACTTTTTTCCTGAACTCATTCCATGGGTGCGGCTCTTGGTGGGGCCTCGTCTTCCTCAGCCATGTTTCATAGTAGTCCAGAAACTTCATAAATGTTGTCTGGAAGTACTGCGAGGAAAGGAAGTTATCTGTGGTGAGGCCTTTCTCCTGGAAGAAATTAGTATTTGGGTTGGAATTAAGCAGATAATTGCAGCATTATAAATTGGTAAGATAAATTAGTTGTAGCAAGTCCTCCAGCTCATGGTATAAATCCTAACACAGGACGCATAAAACCCCATGTACCCCTCGTGATTCTGCTACAACTTATATTAACCCACTAAAGCATCCGGGGTAGAATAGGTCTTCAGCAACCAATGCTTGCCGTAAAAGGCAACTATGCTTATCGTAAGAGGCAACTAACAGGATCAGGTAGTCAGGCTTTCTGACTTGGTTGATGGATGTCATCGATCCCAATTACGTGAATTGATGCTCATGATATTAATTACTGGATTGTCTGGTCCAGACTCCATTATTCACAGACCGCCGTCATACAGCTGGAATATTGCTGAGCGCGACTAAACAACCAACCAACCACTAAAATGCCTTCATCATTACTTAATGGGCTTGTATACATACATCAGCCCTGAATACATACAGCCAATATGTGGTGTAGTGGTGAAACACATCCATTGATAGTCCAGCAATGAAAGTAGGCCTTGTATAACACATGAAATTCAATGAAGCCCTACCCGGTACATGATAAACTTTGTGCAAACTGCATTGCTGCCTGATATTGTAGGTGGCTGAAAGGCTGTGGTACATGTTGCACGAGAAATATTGCTAATGTGATCTGAGCACACGCTGAAGTCGAGGCTTGATTGGTTGGTTGAAATAGCAAATACACTTCAAAGCAGTCGTATGCATTTATGAGTTAAGTGAAGTATTGATGATGATGTGCCCAATAATGTTTTACGGGGCACATCATTGTCAATATTTCACTTGACTCATCAATACATACAGCAACTTTGAAGTGTAGTTAGTGTTTGAATGTTTTACCAACCATGAAAATCAGGGTTAAAATAGGTCTCCAGCAACCCATGTTTGTCGAAAAAGGCGACTATAATTGTCTTAAGAGGTGACTAACGGGGTCGGGTGGTCAGGTCATGTCATCATATCCCAATTGCGTATACATATTGGTGCTTGATTATTTTCAGACCGCTATCATATAGCTGGAAGTGCGGTGTTAAACAAGTAACAAACAAACAATAGAATGTGTTTACATTGCGTGGCTCCACACGAAGAGGGTAATAAGGAGTTTACGTACCACTTGGACAATTCTTCGTTTGGCCTGAGCAATGCTGCGCTCCACGACCTCCACAAACTTGTCATTAGGGCTGAGGTCCCGCTTCTCCACTTCTCTCAAGATGGCCAACTTGTAACCAAAGTCCAGGCGACTTGCATATGCCAGTGTCCCCAAAACCTCGATGTTTGGTGATAGACCATAATGCTGTCATAAACAAGTAGAGTTACGCGACTTGCAAATAGTTTTTTGGTCCTTAAATACTTTTTTGGGGAAGTAAAGATGAACATTATTAGTATGGGAATCTTTGGACAATTCTCAAATGGCAGCATTAACTTTTTTCAAAGTTTTATTTAGGTAATTTCTCTTGGTAGATGTTCATATCTTATCTAATGGAACATGAGCTAAGGGTCAAAAGCCAACCCGAATGACTTCTTAAAGAGTGCTGGACAGAGATGCACGTTAAAACTTGCAGTCCTTGATATATATTTGTGTTAAAGATGTTTTCCTGAATATCAGGGTGAGGGGTTGGGGGAGCAACAACCTGAGTCAAATAATGGTTATAACGCTTCTAATTTCAATAATGTAATTTGATTGGAAGGCTATTTTCATTGTCATTCGAACCAGACTCAAAACAAGCTTGGTGAATCGGTCCAGGATGTTTATGAAAACGGAGTAATAATACCTTTACAATACAATTAAAGATATACAAATGAAAGACGACCCACCTCCATGTCCTTGAGGAACTGCATGCCATCTTTCTGGAAGCGACATGTCATCGCCAAAGTTCCGAACGTCATCATGTCTGGCTGGAGTCCAGACGCCATCATCTGCTCTAGTACCCTCTGTCAGAGGAAACAAGCATTAACTGATAGACAAAGCACAGATTGCAAATCTAAAGGTAATCACTGATACATATTGTGATTCTAAACAGTAAGATATAACCCTAATATTTATATAAATTGTTAAATAATTTACAAAAACATTTACAACATGGCTGCCAGTTTGAAAATCAGATCAGTGTTCTTAAACCTTTGATTGTGTAAGATGTTAAAATTACTTAAATTGATGTTAACGAAAAACATCAACGTAAAACATCAAAACATAAATATGTGTGTGAATAGAAATCCTTGTTGTCAATATGAAACGAGTTTTAAAATTTCAATTTTGGTAATATATGGTTAAAAGTGTGAAAAGAAAGGCAATGGTAATAAACAATAGTTTGGTACGAATGACACAGCAATTTTTGGTGTTTATAATACACCACAAGTGGATGTTATCTGTTTACATGCCTAAAAACAACAATGTTTTATAGATTTCTACACTTCAGATGACTACAGGTTACCGTATATCGCTGTGTATAAGGCAAGTTTTTCGTACCTCAAATTAGGGGGCTCTCAAGGGCTTACACACAGGGTTGAATACTATACGTTCCTTCATCACCCATGTATACACACAGCTGCTCTGTTGGATGGTAGTAATGCTCTATGTTCAATAGGCTAATGAAACAAGATCAGAAGGTCAAATGAAGCCTACTATGTGCATGATCTTTGTGCAAAGCCTACCACTGCCTGTTATTAAAGCAATGTACAGAGACGACGGCCACAACACTATGACATGCTGCACACTGGTTGATATAAAATCTCACTGGTTTCCTCCAGCACTGTTTGATTCGTTGGTAACAAATAGCTACCATACTGCAACAGCAGTCCTATATATTCAGGGGTGATGGGGGAATGTAGTGTATACAGACCTGAGAAGAACTGATGATGAACATGATGAACATTTAATACGATGAAGCTGTGGGACCACTCACCCTGGCACCTTCTGCATCTCTCCTGAAGCATCTCTTGCGGATGAGTGAGTTGTACAGGGCAATGTCTGGCCTCACCCCCAGGTCCTCCATCCGGTGCAGGAGGGCCATCTCCGCATCGACCGTGGGAGGGGCCACTTCTATCAGCTGGGTGAATGTCCGAACATCGGGTTGGACACCATCTGTTGCCATGGCATCCAGGATGCCATGCATTCCACCAATCACAGCCAATCTCTCGTCTGGATACTTTAATTCTCTAATGGAGATCACTTGGTCCAGTTTACAGTCAGCTCTTAACAGATTCGGTATCTCAGCCAATTTGAGATGTGAGATGTCAGAACTGGCATAATCCGCAGCCACTTCCCACCACTGAGCGTTGGTTGAAACAAGTGAGAGTCTCTCAAGCTGATGGATGTTAGGCTCACAATCTCCAGAGTCATGGGTATTTTGTTCTGTGTCAGAAACATTCCCGTTCCCGTGTCCTTGAACTGACCTTGCCTCATCACTGACACGGCCAATGACTTCATGTTTACCAGATGTCACAAACTTTGAACTGTTCTGGCTCAACATCTCAGGTGATTTTGGTGTGAGTTTGTCAACTTCCTGTTGACCCTGGAGAAGCAGATCGGAGAAGACATTGTCCCCCGCACCGCAGTCACGCACGCTTCTCAGCAGCAAGTTGTACAGAGGCAGGTCCGGGCTCACTTTAAACTGCTTCATCAAACGCCACACCTGACACACAACCAGATGCAGTAATCAGCAGCTGCATGGCTAGATACTCTTACACAAGCATTTACTTAAGAATTGACCTCAATATTTTTGTGTTCATGGAGGTATAAATGTAAAACCGGTGTGCACACTGTGTAAATCCTCATAACAACTTCACAGACTACTCATCTAATCATTACCACAAAAACATTGTAGACAACAATACGGAATCCACGTCATCATTCAGCGCAATAATACAACTCAAGCTCCACCCTCTCTCTTATCAGCCAATCAGGAATCAGTAGTCTGCTAGACTTTGAGACATAGCTTATAATATCAATCACTGATTTCTCTGGTATATTACTTACAGGCTGCCAAATAGACTCCCTTTATAGGACAAATAGGCTCCCTTTGTAGGACAAATAGGCTCCCCTTGTAGGAAAAATAGGCTCTCTTTGTAGGACACATACTGTCAAATAGGCTCCCTTTGTAGGACAAATAGGGCAGAGTTGACGCTAACCCCAATATACCAACATCTTGAGTGAGGGATAATATCCCAGTCAGTAATATTCCCCTCTACATAACTGCCACCAGCAAATAATGGAGCAGGATCCAGGCAAATCAGTGGTCGAGTGAGTGAGTGAGTGAGTGAGTATGGTTTTACGCCGCTTTTAGCAATATTCCAGCAATATCACGGCGGGGGACACCAGAAATGGGCTTCACACATTGTACCCATGTCGGGAATCGAACCTGGGTCTTTGGCGTGACGAGCGAACGCTTTAACCACTGATGCTGACAAACAACCAGGCAGAGAGAACACAGGAACATTGTTGTTGTTGTTGGTTTGTTGTTTAACACCGCACTCAGCAATATTCCAGCTATATGACAGCGGTCTCTAAATAATCAATCTGGACCAGACAATCCAGTGATTGATATCATGAGCATCGATCCACGCAATAGTGATTGATGACCGTGCATCAACTAAGTCAGCGAGCCTGACCACCCGATCCCGTTAGTCGCCTTTTAAGACAAGCATAGTTGCCTTTTACGGCAAGCATGGGTTGCTGAAGACCTATTCTACCCCGAATCTTCACGGGTCACAGGATCATTGAGTCAGATATTACCACAAGCTGGTGACCTATTCTAAAGTATTATCATGAGACTCATCAAAGTAAAGAAGAAGAGGCAAGGAAAATATACCAAGGTAAATCAATGCCACTTGTAATTCGCTGTTAGAAAAGCAACTACTTTTCTCTGACTTGGTTGATACATGCCATCGATCCCAATTGCGTGGATCGATGCCCATGATATCAATCACTGGATTGTCTGGTCCAGACTCGATTATTTACAGACCGCCGTCTTATAGCTGGAATGTTGCTGAGTGCGGCGTTAAACAACAAACCAACCAACTTTTCTCTGAATAATCATAATAAGAGATGTGAATATACAATGATCACCTTCAGCGTAAACTTAAATCCTGCCTTCCTGTCTGAGATACAAGCCATCAACAGGAAGCTGAAAGTCTCGGCAGTGGGTCGGAACGTTGCTGTCAGCTCATCCATCAGACGAAAGGCTGTCTGGATGTCTCCTTGCAGGGCGTAACATTTGATCATGGCTTGGTATGTGATCTGGTTGGGTTCATAATCCTTGCCTTGCATGAGATGTCTCAAGTTGTCTGCCCTTGACAAACCGTCCTCAGACCAAGGGGAGTTGGCACAGGCATTGAACAGGGATGTGTATGTCAGATCTACTGGTTGCAGGCCCATTTTCTTCATCTGAAAATAAATGTGAGGACAGGATCATATTTATCAGATAACAGGTATGGATGACTCCGTCTGACATGATTCACATAGCAAAAAGGTTATATTTAGGCTTAAAAAAATATAAGAAATGGTTCTCAGGCAATGGTTTTTGAAAAAAAGTGCTTCCGGGCGGAGTCTTTTTTTTTCATAATAATATGTAACAAAATAAACAAAGAATAATCAACCTGGGAAAGGGCCTCCCTACATAAATATATTCCTTGATGGGTAAAATACTGGAATACAGTATTTGACTACTGTTGGTTCTGGAATATTAAAGGATTTATTTTTTTTAAATTCAAATAAAATTAAAAATGAAGCGTGCGACGAACTTTATGATGATGCGAGCGGTGCCTGAGAACCAAGACTAATATTTTTTAGCCTTACGAAGATTTGCAATCCCTTAATAATTAATCAGGCTATCCTTACCTTACGGACGATTACAAAAACACTGCGCTAAATCTGATTGCACAATGCAGTTATCACTTGCCTAACTTTAGTGTTTCTGTTTACTGGAACGGCAGCACTTAGAAATACAGGTACATTCATTTTTTTGGACAAAAGGGTTCAATTTACTGGAACATGGACTATTTACAAGTAAAACACTAAAGCAAGAGACGGTTCCAAGTACTTGCAAATACAGAAGCAGTATCTGTATCGCCATTCCTCGGCTCCTAAAACCTAAACATGTCATTAACAACTTCTTAAGATTCAACAATTATCCAAGTTTTAGGATAATACAATCAAAACTGCTTTCAAAGTATCAAGGTTTGTTGGCAACATACCCATGCTCGTGGGTTTCATCAATATGATAAATGTCTGACACCTGCATCACCTGGGACATTCATCCCACATTGAGCTGACCATGATATAACTGGAATAGTGTTAAAATAGGCGTTAAACACTTCTTTCTAAACCACACTAAACTTTCAGTCCCCAAAAAGACCAGTTTAGACAGATTCTAGTGTACCTTGTTGAAGAGCTGGAATGCCTTCTTGGTATATCCCACCCTCCCGAGCACCCCGATGAGAACTGTGAATGTATATGCTGTTGGCATCACTCGGTCGTTCTGCAGCATCCATTCTTCCAAGACAGTTACAGCCTCTTTAATCTGAACAACATAAAACAGAAATGTTGATATCGAAATAAGTCATCTTTACACTCAATTCAAAGCTAAATGTAAGCATGAAAAGAATTGTCATTCCTCATCCTTAATATGTTTATCATATCTAAACCCTTAAGGCAAATAAAGTACCACAATCATAATTCTTCAATTACTGCAATTCAGCAAATCAGAAAATTCATAATTTTTCTTAACAATTTTTGAAAATCAAATACAGCAAAAATGATTTCATGCATAAATATTATCAGTGTAAATAGGGTAACAATCAACTATTAGAAATTAAAGATCTGCATAAAAAAATGAGATGGTAGACGGACAAAATTGTTTCTGAACAACTTGAATCAAACTTGCACAATCCAAGTCACCCTCAAGCCAATGTTAAATTTAACATGGACACCCACTCAGACATAGTATACTAACTACAAGCTGACAAGTCTCTATTTAACCAACTTTTAACGTCTTTTGGAATGACACCGACCTTCACCTCTCCAGGCGCTAAATCAGTCTACCATGGTATGTCAAATACCATACCTGTCCTGCCTTGCCAAACTTCTCTATCTTCCTTCCATACCAGTCCTGGCTGTGACGTCTGTTGCCAGCAGACAAGCGAATGTGACTCTTCCCTTCCTCATCCAGATCATCTTGAAAACTGATAAATAGAGTCATCTGGTCAATATTCTTCATGTGTTACAAAAGTATTTACTATTCCTGGAGGGGAACAGGTAACAAGACCAAGGTACCACCATGGGTTTACAGAGTTATCTCCCTTTACTGTGCCCGACCTTAAATCCTAGATTCGCCTTGCTCTGATTTGTGGGTTCTCCAAAGTGGCAAATATCAATGGTTTGCATCACCAATGGCATACAGTGAAAATAATGTTGAACCCTCTCAATCCCTCCCTCACTATTTCTGGTCAGAATCTTTCAATCATAATATACACACACATATGTTCAACATGCATGTGATGTCAAGTACCAGTATGTAAATACATGTGACCTTGAATAAATATGAACCTTCATAGTGTAATGCATGACAGGAAATTAATTTCTAACATGTGCTTCAGAAAAAGCATAATTCCATAAAATGTATAAATTGCCAAATTGGGTGAAAATCTCAACACCGTAACAATTTCCCACTTGACCTGTACATCAGTAGTTTGTTTGCAGAAATGTATTTTAAAATATTTGATTTCCTTTTCAAGACTATTTACAAGTAGATTACCTTTCTTTAAATGTAAAATGCAAAAAAAAATTACTTTCAAGTTAATATTTGTTTGTTTATAAGCAAATATTTTCTGGATTTACTAAAAACATGGCTGTCCCTCAGCTGGACCATAATAAAAAATAATACCTAATCTATATCTAAATATTCTAAAAATGTAACAAATTTTGTTTTTCACACTCTCAAATGAACATTAATTACATGTATCCTATCATTATTATCTAAAACCTAATTGAAAAAAAATAAATTAGGAAAAAAAAGATGTCCCTCAAAAGGCACTCAACTCCGTTACAACGTACCAATACTAAAAAAATAACTGTGCTATGGGAGATAACTCTCATACGCTTCCTCTTTTGGCAACATGTGTATTAAGTTCATCTGCTGGTGATAGATAGATGCCACATTTATGTACAATGTTCAAGCCAATGACATCAAGATATGTCTGTTAAGTACAGTATGTTTTCTAAGCCTCAACTCTGTAACACTGTCTATAGATCTATATCTCATTCTAATTTCCTTCACTTTTCCAAGAGAAATTGGTTAGCAAGACCATGTTAGCAGTGAGTATTTTAATTTCCATAAAAAGCAAAGCATGCTGGGATATGAGCCATTTATAGTAAGGTTTCTCAACTCGGTTACACTCAACTCTGTAATGCTGTACAGCGTAACGGAGAGGAAAAATTTGTGCATCTGCACAATTTCGATAGTTATTGTCAGTACATAGCTTTGTTCTTCACGAATATTTTATTTTATTTTAACCCTATACCTGACAAATAATTTTCCTACAGTCTGTAGTAAGAACTTTTTTTTAAAATAGTCACTCAGACTGCTCTGATGTTTCGGATGAACAAGATGTTAGGACCTGTGCAAATGTGGATTTGATACTATTGATAGCGCTCTTTCAGACAGTGGACTAATTATTGAAGACAGAACTGTTGTCTTTTACATTGATGGGAGTGCCCTGCTATTGTGTTTTGGCTGCAGAAAGCAATTTCATTATGCATGTATAAACAACATATTTTCTGACAGTGTTGATGATATGATTGATCTGAAATTTGATCTTGAAGTTTTGTAACTATATTACAGTGATCTAAAATGGCATTTTAAGCAACTTTGTGCTTATTTATTTCAACGTCTATACAAAGGGTTGAACATTAGTAATTTAGTAGACCCACTTTTGTATGCCATTACTGCAGTAACTGGCTCATAAACCATGAGTACCAAAGTCCTGACAAGTAACACAACACAGTGCATGTATTTTCACATTTCATCTCAAAAGGGATGAAAAGGTTGTTATTTTATGCTAGAGAGCAATAACAAAATATATGAGTTACAACTCCGTTACAACAAACTCAACTCTGTTACGTCAGGATTTTTTAAATAGATGACTTCTTTTGACAACTGACGAAAAACTTTGTTGTTTTTATGAGTTTTAACTTTAGATTAGGATTAATGATAATATATGTTGTGACAAAAGATGAAAAATACTATATTTTGGATACCGTCTTTCATGTAAATGACTTTGTTGTCTAGGCAAACTTTTGAAATATGGAGCGAGCACTTACAAATGTCCAATCATACATTTTATTTAGCCAGTTTGCATTTGTTTGACACTGAATTGTATTCACACTTAATGTTAATTGCTGAATACGATTTTATATTTCAAAGCAACCTAGCGCTATTAAAATTACTTTCCATTTTGTGATCCGTAACGGAGTTGAATGTCCTAGCAGATTAGGCTAATTCATTAATTATTTTCTAATTAATTAAACACATCACTGCACTGCATTGAACTAGAAAGTACTTCTCAAGTATCATATTCTCTAATACCAAGAGAAAAATTATATTGGGGACACTTTTATTTTTGCAAGTTGATATCAGAAAATTTGTCGGTTTTGAGATTTTTACCCCATTACCGTTCATTATGTGATCCAACCTCGGATGTGAGGGACTCTTTCCATAAGCTTCTCTCTTCATCAGCCAAAGTACCAAACGTGTCCCTTTCTTTCGTATTCCAACTCTTCTGAACTCTCTTCTTTTCTACTGGACTAAAGTGTGTTGGTTCCTTAAGACGAGCCCCCAAAGACTGCTCCATGTCCTGAACAGGCCTCCTTGACTTTACAAAACTTTCCACCTTTCCTAACTGACCAAACGTATCAGAGTCAACTGACATTACATCTTGCTCAAAATATTTTCTCTCATTTTCTTTGTCTTTGTTTGTGAAGACTCTATTATGAACTTTTGAAAAGTTATGTGGCCTTCTTCGTCTCGACTTAAATGTTTCTACAAAGTTTTCGTTCCTCTGGAGATCTCTTTCCGGACCAAATTCCTCACTGCTGTGAAGTTGTTGACCTGCATGCAGCTCCCTACACAACAAATTCTTGCCAACACCAAGTTTGCTTGACAATCCTTCTGTCTGTCTCAGCAAAGTGTGCACTCTCAGAGATAAACATGACAATCTCAAATGCATACTTGCCATTTTGTTTAGCTCCTATCAACTGGTTAACTGAAAATAAACAGGGATTTGTTTTGTTAAATAATAGATTCAGAAATATGTATATCGTCTACATTGCATGCATTATACTGCAGTATACAATGGTATAGTTCATAACATCTATGAAAATAGTCCTTAAAAATGTTACAGTTCGGTTCATCCCATAAAGAATAATCAAACGTTAATTCTTAGAATACGGACATTAATATTACAGGCTTTCTTGAAGTAGTTGAGCATGGATTTACGCCGCTTTTAGCGACCTTCCAGTAATATCACGGCGGGGACACCAGAAATGGTTTTCACACAGTGTTCCCACGTGGGAAATCCAAGTTTCAGTTATACAGTATATAAGGTCTGGGACGGGTAACTCGGGTACCCGGGTCGGGTGGGTACTGAGTAGGACCCGGGTACCCACAGGACTACCCGGACCCGTGGTTAGTCACGTGATATATTGTTTAATGACCAAAATTATATAGAACTCTATGGTTACGCTACTGTTTTTCATATGGTTGAATAAAGATATAACTTAATTCAACTTCAGTGCATGAATGACAAGATTGTTTAATACATGTGTCTTAATACGTTTTGCCAGGGCTATGCTATAAATGTTCCCATTCTGACATTTTGAGACATCTCCTGAGACCTACAGTGGGTACCTTGGTAGGGTCGGGTAATAGGGGGCTGGGTACCCGGGTAGTAAATTTGGACTCGTCCCAGCCCTACAGTATATAGTTAAAATTATTAAAAATAAACAGCAGGTTAGTTGATGTTCAATCATCACCACCGACACTGATCACATTCAGAGATCGAGGTCATATCTGTGAGCCTTGAACATGAAGTTCGGGTCTAACACCACTGCCTAGTTCAACAACCGATTTACTTCATGCATAGAGAGCGTACTACTGTCATCTAATACAAACACAAACGTAATCTTACACAATTCTAAAGTCATCTAACACGTTGTGATGGAGGACGCCATTTTGCGATTGGGTTTAGACTCCGTTCCGAGAAGTGCGGGGACTACTTAGTGTCTCCTAGATCGGCATCGAGAAATAAGCAATGCGCAGAGCCCTTTGTACAGCTCCATACAGCAACTACTTTTCAACACAGCGCGACGAGTGTACAAGTGAATCATATAATATCAACAATTGGTCTAGAATCTAAAGTATCACTTATGAAAATAAATGCCTTGAATATGACAGTGACCGATGTATTTACTTGCTGAGAATCATAAATCTTTGGTCAATCATCATATGAATATCTATTTAGTAGGGTACGTATTGACATGATAAGTCGTACCAGAGACCATATAACATGTTATGGTCTCTGGCCGTACGTAGGTCTATTCCGTGAAAAAAGTCGATGCTTTCAGGAAAACAGTCCAACAGCATAGATGAAGGATCTGGGGAATGGTTTTGTAATGGGGTTGTTACTTTTTTTCTCATTTCTATGGACTGGCGACATTTAAAAGGAAATTACAGCGATTAGCAGCAAGCTAAACACAACATAAAACGGAAAAAGTATATGAAAAAATACATTAAATTAAATTAGATAAATACCAAGATTGATCGATTTTTTATGGCTTCGGATCCGTAAACCAAGCACTATATTAACCGATTTCAATAAAAAATGACACCTAAATATACTAGATTTTTACAGTGCTGTAAAATGAACGATCATTACACAATGTACCCTAACCAAATTGTCCTTTAAATCTCTTTAATCCCAGAGAATTATTTTACGTTTGAATACATACTGGTATACCTAGGCCTGAAAGTTTATTAATGTTAAAATCTATAATGCGCCAAATCCAAACCCAAAAGCATGCCCAAAGCTCTAAATTATTACCTCGTCAGTGGATCAGCGTATACCCGATTTTAATTCTCGGCTCCCTTGGGACAGGACAGAGCCAGATTAATGGTCTCTGCTAGGGGGCTTACAACCAGGCGCTGAAAGCTTAACAGTCTCGTCCTGCCGTGTACCCATTTAAACACTACTACTGGATGAAGAGAGGCATATCTCTTGCTTAAGGAGACACCCAATTAGGGCTGGTAACTCGGGTACTCGGGTCGGGTGGGTCCGGGTACCCACAAGACTACCCGGACCCATGGTTAGTCACATGATATATTGTTTAATGACAAAAACTCACTATAGCTCAGTGGTTACACTACAAGTCGCTAATGTTCGCAATTCCTTCTGACGATGCACACATTCCATTTGACTTGTATATGTTTGAATAAAGATAACGCTTCAATCAACTTCAGTAAACGCATGATCTGATTTTTTTTATTCATGTTTCCAAACAGTTTTAGCCGGGGCTGCGGTAAAACAATTACCAATCAGACATTTTGTTCCCAACTCTTGAGACTTGCAGTGGGTACCCGGGTCGGGTCGGGTAATAGGGGGTCGGGTACCCGGGTAGTAAATTTGGACTCGTCCCAGCCCTACACCAAATGTAACACGACGTCGTGTTTCAGCGTATAAAGGCATGCCCTACAAACTCTCAGGAGTCAAGCTCGAACCATCCACCTGACCCCCGCGTCCAACGTTGCTTAATATAGCCTGATTTCTGCTCAGTGCGCTAAACATAACACCACCAGACTGAAGACTGAAAGATGTCAAAGACACAAAACAAATTCCAAATAAATTATCATAATTTGTGACTTCCAGAGAATGTCAGGTTGTCTTTCCATGTATAGCTGTCGAGCATTTCATTACTAAGAATAATAACGAATAAGGATGAATAGTTATGAAATGGCGGGCATATCATCCTAAAATACTTGAAAAAATGTGGTCTTTATCATAGGTTTTAAATATGTATTTGAATAACTAATTGCCTGTTTATATATTTGGTGTGATGTTTTTTTCAACGGAGATTATTGAATGCTTTGACCAGGATGTTAAAGTATATCATAAAATTATTGCCTCCGTGTTACATGTATTTCCTATCATAATCGATACAACTATCATCAACGAGACTGTGTTAAAAGCCAACTCGTAACTGAGCATTTTAAATGTTGGCTGGCATTGTGCACAACCACCAGTAGCTAAAGTGAAAACGTAATTTATTTCTTGGGTATCGTTCATGCAGGAAGCCGGGGAAAGTCCCCATGATCCCCAGCGAGATGGTTCAGGTTTGGCTGCTGGTGGCTAACATAGCCCGCGTTGTAAATGTTAGTTATGTTATTAAAGGTTTGACAAGATTTAACGTTGATGTAATTATAGGACATACTTCTGGCTATTTAAACTTGTTTTCTTTGCACTATGGCTATTAATCCTGATGCGACGTTAAATTTTAACTCACTCAATTCATTACTGAACAGATATTGTCTGACTGGGACAGTTCGTTGTTGTAAACATGTACAGGGGGAAACCAACGGGAACGATTCAAATCTAGTAAAATTGCGCGCATGATGTTTGATGCATAGTTTTGTTAGCTTTCAAACTTGCATCCCTTTGCCTTGCGAGGATACGCTGGTCGTGGGTTCACAGTTTGAGTCAAGGTGTAACGACAACAGTGTTCACTCACTCTCACAATCCAACATGTAGTAATGCTTTTCTCGTTAAGGTCCATTGATACCATATAACTCATAGTCTGTTCTTCTATGTGACCACCTCCATGGTCTAGTGGATTGAGCGTCTGTCAGCCCAGAGTTCGATCCCTGCCCGTATGATACCAAAATACGTTAACAGATGGTATTCCTATTGTTACCCTGCCTGGCTCTCGGCATTACGGGGACAAAACAAGGACTGGTGGTCTAGGAGCCAGGGGCGGATAATGTTTTTTTACAAACAAGATAATGTAAACAATTATTAATAATTTTACTTTGACAACCAAATATTATCAGACATGTTATCAGACCCGTGAAGATCCGGGGTATAGAATAGGTCTTCAGCAACCCATGCCGAAAAGGCAACTAAGGATCGCTGAATTGGTTGGTGCACGTCATCGTGTCTCAAATGCGTGGATAGATGCTCATGTCAATAACTGGATTGCCTGGCCCAGACTTGATTATTTACATTGGAATATTGCTGAGTGCAGCGTTAAACAACAAACATAATGATGGATTCGTAGCTTCCCGCATCTTTCCGGGGCAAGGGAGGTAACCTTCCGCTCTACCACTAGACCACGAAGACTGTCTTTGCTGTGGGGGCTGGGGGATTTGTCATTGGATTGAAAAGAAGGCGCAGGTGAAAGATTATTGCAACGTGCATGTACTTGTGTGTGTGTGTGCGGCTGCTTGTACTAGCCCAGACTGATGCCGCTTTATAGTGCTAGCCCACTGAGATACCATGCAGCAGCAGCAGCAGTTTAACATGAATGCCCCACTCAGAAACAGTATACTGTCTCTGAGACCTGTGAAGATCCCGTGTAGAATAGGTCTTCAGCAACCCATGCTTGCTGTAAAAGGTGAACATGCTTGTCCTAAAAGGCAACTAACGGGGTCGGGCTCAGGCTCAGGCTCGCTGACTTGGTTGATGCATGTCATCAATCCCAATTGTGTGGATCGATGTTCCTGATGTCAATCATTCACTGGATTGTCTGGTCCAGACTCGATTATTTACAGACCGCCATATAGCTGGGATATTGCTGAGTGCGGCATAAAACAACAAACCAAACCGACCAATCTGTCTTCGCCCCTAAATGACCAGGGCCAGACAGGGTAAGGACAAGTACCTTCTTTTAACGTCTTTGGTATCGAAACCCTGGACCTTCCGCTCTCGGGGCAGACGCTCTACCGCTAAACCACAGAGGAGGCGGATTGAAATGAAATACAAACAGACACTTATAAAAGAATGTATTCAGGCCCAGTTACTTTTGGGCTTCGAATCCCTTTTACTCATGTCTTTCCACCAGTCAGATTGCAGCATACATACACACACACACACACATTTGTTTTACAATGTAATATGTTCTTCACTGTTAATATTTGCCAAAACACAAATAGTCAAGCATGGTATCGATGTGAGCTATGAATATTTCAACTTGTCATCTACATGCTGCCATTCCCCCTTAGACAAATACAATGCATCTATCGTTAATGAGTCATCATTTCCATAAACTTCAAAACAATGGGTGTCAATTACACAAAATATCACAAACAACATTACTGCATCAGATTTTTCTTATTTTTTTTAATCCCAGACACATATATGACTGTACATATCAGGACAGGTCTTCTTACTTGATCACTGAAACACAAGAAAATACATTTGTTAGAAAGAATCCACAGTATCAAGCAATACACCAATCCTACACCTAGGCATCAGTGTACTACTGTATTGCTGTTCCCCTTGGAATACACCAAAATATAGCCACAAAAAAAAGCAGTTTTGTTCCAGTTTTCATTGACAGATCCTGGTGGTGGTTCATGACATAGGACCTGGGTGATACCATCCTGTAATTGATCATGTATAAGCCATGTTTATGTTGTTTAATGTTGCACTCAGCAATGTTCCAGCTACATGAGCGCAGCATGTAAAAAAACAAACCTTGACAACACAAACCAGTGACTGATATTAGATGCAATCAGGTCAGGGTACAATCATACTCAACAATTTAACCAAGTCTGATGACCCGAACCATCTAGCAGAAGTTGCCAGGCACCTATTCTAACACTGAACTCCCACAGGGTAACATACCCGGTACTTACCATGCTCACTGCATATCAATTTACATTGAATTAGATTATCATGGTAAACCTAAGAGCTGTCATTGATGGAGCATCTACATCAAAATATAGCAAGGAAACTACACATCATTCTTCATAAACTGATCTATTTTGATATCCCCCCATAATTCATATTTTGTATCAATATGTGTGTGTGCGCATTTGTTGTGTAACACTGCTCTCAGCAATATTCCAGCTATATGACAGTTGTCTGTTTTTGAGAAGAGCATCGATCCATGAGCAATAGGATACGATAACATGTAATAAACCAAGTCACCGAACCCAACACAATTAGTGGACTCTCAAGTCTTATTATAAGCACAGGTGATAACTGAATAAAAATTAAACAGAGTACTGCATAGTAAACATGTTTATCTTGTTCAAGCAGGACTACCTACAAGTCCTAGTGGAATAACGTTTCCACTTGTCCTCTGGACAAGTTTAATAAAAGAAAGAATTTCTAAGGCTGTCTTAGGGAAAATCACTAGAAAGTCACTGCAGTTTCAGAGGTGTCAGACAAAGAAGTTGATGATGGTGGCGGAAAGAAGAAAAGGCATTTGGTGGTAGAAATTTACAACACTAAAATAAATAACATCAAAAACTTAACGCTACTGGGATTACAATGTAATCTGCAATAAGCTGCTACATCAACTTAAACAAATAGTTACTACAGGATTGGATATTTTTCCACTCTGCTAAGGTGACCTTTTGACCAGTGGTTGACTCATTCCAGAGAAAAATTGCCTTGAATATTGTATCTGGTGTTAAAGACACACCTTAAATATTTATCTGGTATTGACGATACACATACTTGAATAGTGGATCTGGTTTTAATGATACACCATCTTGCACACTGGTTCTAGTATTAAAGATACACTCCTCGAGTATTGGATGTAGTATTAAATGATGATTTGAAGTAAAATAAAGCTACACAGACATAACATTTGAACATGCCATTTAACATGCTAGTCAATTAACATGCCAAAAAAACAATTCACACTAATTTGATATATACTTACAAATAATTGGTTGGCAGTTTTTGAAATTTAGCATGTAAGTCAAGGGGTACTTGTTTTAACCCTGATGTTAAAAGCACAAGAATTAGGGAGAGTCTACATTCAAATACTATAGAAGCAAACCCGAAGGACCCCCTCTGATCCACAAGTTTCGAACACTATATAAAACTACCAATACAATGAACATGTTCAAAGCATTCCAAACAAGTCATATCTAACATCACTTGTTATCAAACAGGCGTGCACATATTAAGCAGGCTGAACAGTAGGAGTGAGATACTTTGGATTGTACAAAACCTATTAAGCTGGGATAGAAACCATGAGCATAATTCAACTAGTCCATACCTCACTTTGGACTAGTGGTTAATAGAGTTAAATAAGTAGATCTTGCAAGAAAACAAGCCTTGCAGACTTTCACTGATGTCGGAACGGTGGACTAGTGTCTAACTTTATTAAGTCAACATGTTAGTGCATATTAGTGAAGTTGTGAAGGAACTAGATATGCATATTAACAGCAAGCATTAGTGCATTCCACATCACATCTAGACAAGCATTATATATCACAAGGGCTTAAACTATCAAACTTTGTACCTGGAGTGTGCACCATGTTTACTTCTGCAAAGTAAAATAGATACATACAACTATAACGGACAGTGACAATCCATACATGGACAATAATCATGAACTGATCCTACTTGTCAAAAGGCAATTGTGTCCTGCTCTCTTATACATGTTATAAACTGATCCAACAGAGCTCTTGCAGACAGGATCAAAATATTAATAATATGCTATAACAGAGGGAATATTAGACAGACACACGAAAAACAATGCCCTGATGTTATATAAATTCTTTGGGCCAATAAAACTTTCTTATACTTTGAATTATTCATTTGAAAAAGTCACCTTCCTACCATAAGTAACTGACCCTATGTATAAACTCTCCAATGTAAAACAACTAGTTGCAAATTCCGGTATTCTTTGTTTTCCATGAGGCTAATGGGAGACCAGCTGTTGAATAAACGAGCGTCAACCCCCACACCCCAAACCCCCAAATCCATAATACAGGATTATGTAGTGAGATGTTACCTTCTTCTTGTCTGCTCCTATCTTGGCCTTTGCTGTTCCTCGCACTTTCTTCTGTCTGTTCTTCCTCTCCTTCCTCTGTTTTCTCCCTGTCCTCTTCACCTCTACCAGGCCATGCTGTAACCACAAGATTGTAAAACATAGATGAACATTTTAGATAGGAACTTACAAACAAATGCACAGGTGTTTTCATTACTTATTATCACACAGAAGCATAACTGGTGTCATTTCACATCAATTATGAATACCATGACACTCTTAGCTAAGAAAAGATTTGGCATAAAGTGAGTGAGAACATATTGGCAATATTCAAGTTATTTCCAACAGTCAGTTAAGTCTGGGCTCTGCAAACTAATGAATGATAGGAAATCAATGCTCCTTATTGTTGGGGTATGACCAATTATCAGCCAGATCATATAACCATGAGCAACATGAAATAAATGCCCATGATTGCAAAGCATGAGTGAGTTTGAACAATATTCCAATTATATCATGGCATGACAGCTTCATGTGGGAGGAAAGCCCAAAACATGCCTGGATGAAACCAATGAACACTGGAATGGTACTGACAAAACCAGAAACCTAACTGGGGTTACCAGGATTCAAACCCACAAGGATAGGTTTCTGGCTTGCCCAAGGGATACACAGCACAATGCGGCACCGTAGACGACTGGGCCACCCATGCCTCATGGTTGATATTCAGTTTTAACAATAAGTGAATTGTTTTTGTTTTTTTTGTTTTGCATACTGTTTAACGCCTCACTCAGCAATATTCCAGCTATATGAAGGTGGTCTGTAAATTATCGAGTCTGGACCAGACAATCTGGTTATTGACATCATGAGCATCGATCCACGAAATTGGGATACTATGGCATGCATCAAGGTAGAGAGCCTGACCATGAGATCCTGTTAGTCACCTCTTACGACAAGCATAGTCACCTTTTACAGCAAGCATGGGTTGCTGAATACCTATTCTACACTGGATCTTCACTTGTCTGTCAAGACTGAAGTAATTACAATTCACGATTCATCAAACCTTTGATCAGAAAGAAACAAACATTTACTTACTCTTGCTAATCTGAATTTGGGCTCAAATTTCTTGGCATAATCTAGGGTGTCATAGATCAGGGCAAATCCTGAGGTTTTCCCACCTCCAAAGTGAGTAGTGAAACTGAAGCAGAAAATGACATCTGGGGTTGTCTTGTACATGCGGGCCAACTTCTCACGAATCTCAGTTTTTGGAACTGTGGCCCTGCCTGGATGGATTACATCCACAACCTAGAACAGATAGATATTTCAAATTAGAACATCTTACAAGCAACAGCAATGCTAGCTTCAAAGACATGGTCTAATTGTTCAACTAATGTAGCAAACCTGTACGTGTGCTAGCAGAGCAAACAAATCCCATATATGCTAAATGCAGCAAAACATAAGCTGATGAAACAATCCCCTAAATCTTTAACTCTTAGCGCTTGTGTTACGAACTACGACAAGGATCCCTTGACAATCATGCATCATTTCGAACACCGGATAGTCAGTATGAATTAAAAAGGAGTATCACCTTTCATAAGAGGCTTTAAATGATCCAAGAACTATTAATACAACTTCTAATATAAACAATTCATACCATCTGCTTCCTGCTTAGCAGGCGGTTGGTCATGAACTTCCGCGTTCTGATAGTGGCCGCACCTTCGCTCTGCAAAAAATAACAATATACAAATGCTGAACAACAAGAATACGAAGGTCACACAGACAATTCCCTTTGCCAGCGGGTAATCTGCGAGTGTAAGCAAGTTCAATGCTGCTGTATTTCAGTTATATCACAGAATATCAGCTTGATGTATAAAGGGGAAAGCCAAACCTGATGCGGATCTTACATGTTTACCATTTGGTGACACCCAGGAGAACGGTGTTGACAAACCAAGAAATATAATCATGGCAAACCAAATTCACAGTCACAGACATCTGTCACACCTACAGGACAAACCTAATTGAGCTGGAAGTCTGAGCAAGAGAAGCATGAGGTAATCATTGCTCTTGTCAAATTATCAAAAAATTTATCAGAGTGCATTAATTTTCATGGAGAGTCAGTTAATATCATGGAAAATGACTACATCTTCCTACCATGTTGTCATGGCAATCTGTATCAACAAAGGTATGAAAATACCAAACAAAATTTCATAAAGAAATGGTGTTGTACCTTAATATAGGCCTACTACTTCCATTCCAATAAGCTTACTGTTATTATAATAAATATTACAAAAATGTCAAGGAAATAGCTTTAAAAACCAAGGTTGCCGGCAAATGTCTGGTGATAAATTTGTTTTATATGTGAAATAATATTTCATGACTAGATAACGATACCCTTGTGCCTTTTCGCTTATTATAACGGGTTAGTTTACATACTAAAAGCCCCCATGACATTACGCTATTTTAGCTGGTTTGCGGAAACTAACACACGCCCTAATAAACCACATAATGAAGATCACAAGTTCCTTATATCCAAAATATACTAAATAAGTTTAGAGATGTCAGTTCATCTGCTTCTGCAATAACACATTGCGAAGTTCCCACTACCGATGTTGACATATTTGAGACGGTAAATTCAACGGTTATAAAATCATTTAACAAATCAAAACATCGCATATATTGCGTAAAGATGATAAACTATGTAGTGGGTGGTCTAAATAAGATGGATTATCCCTAAAGAAAGAGATTTATTTGGATGTTCAAGAGCACATCACATGTACCATTTTGAGGTCTTAATGGCCGCTAGGAAAAGACCGGAAGTAGAGAGTTATCGACGGAAGTCACACGCGAGATCTTGGTTTCTCTTCAAAGAGTGAAAATATGCTCTAAACAGAAAGTAACAGTTCCCAGTTACTACTACAATCATTCATTTATTGCTTCGAGTTGCATTTTGGCATCATAGGCGTGTGCTGTTCAGTTTGAAAAGTGAGTCAAGTGGTTACGATGATCACATTGTTTACATTGCTTTGGGGGCACCTGCGAGGTTTTCCGAGAATTTACACATCGATTAAACAAGAGTACGCAAGAATCGTCTTGTTTCAACTTCAAGTCAAGGCGAAAGACATATGATATCGCATTTAGCTTCGTCATCATTTATGATTGTACATGCTATGAAGTTAGATTCTTGGCCGTTTATGACAACTTGCATTGTAAGTTTACATTGTTTGGTATTCAGTGTATGGGTGGCCAGTGCAGATGATGGCGTATATAATATATATCATACTAACAGTGATAGTGTCAGTCACCAGAACCAATAGCTAGAAATACAGCATCTATTTAGGCTGCTAACGAATCATCTAGCACTGCTAAATCGGTATGATACGTTCATATGATCAAGGCTGATTGTGTTTAACAGTGCTTTGTTTATTATTAGCTGAAATGCAAGGTTTCTTTAAAAGTTTAGAAATATAGAAGCTAGAAGAACGGACCAACCATGTAATATAGTATATTCTGGGGAGCGGCTGGGATAGCATCTATATTCAGTCACCAATTTAAGACACACACTTATTTTCTCTGAAAGCAGGAGCCAGGCAATTCTTTTGACCCACAACACTAAGACATTCGGCATGTCAAGTGTATGTGATTGATATTATTATATATTATTATATAGTGTGTGTGTTAAACCTGAGAACAAATTTGTCACACACACACATGTCTCCACTCCCCTTTGCCCCTAATAAGAAGTGATGGAAGAGAGTGAACTGTCCAAACTGAATTCATCAACATGGCTATTACTTCCTCGTCCGAGATGTACACTGTCTTGTGACCACGACCAGGGTCCCAGTTAAGATTGTTTGTGGATCAAGAGGGACACAATTCTTGCAACCACACCACAGCACTGTTGGCTTTCAAATGGCTTGTTTTACTTCATTTCATTATTAATAAGTGAGATCCTGATTTCCAAATGTTTTGCTTAAATCAACTCACTGTGGGTAAATATATGAATCATGTGAGTTTCTTGTTTAGAATTAGCTGGTCAAAAGAGATAACATAATGGATCGGGTGGTCAGGCTTTGTGACTTGCTAGTGTGTCATCATAACCTGATGGCATGCTTTATTGCTCATAATATCCATCACTGAATTGTCTGCTCCAGACTTGATTTTTACAGGCAGTTATCACAATGCTTGAATATTGCTGAGTGTAGCATTAAACGAGAAACAAACACTAAAAAGCTCCCTTTATCAACTATGACTACTATAAATAACAAAATACTGCCTTTTGCTCCTCAAAGTGACACATTTCAAGGATGCAACTTAACCTGAATCACATATGCTAGCCAGAATATTGTTAACATTAAAGGAGCACCCCTTATAAAGCCTGAAAATGTACAATCTCCCAGGATACCTTAAAGCTTAGACAAAATGAGTCTTGGTCATCAATGGAGCTAGTCCCAATTTGCACCCCTGTATTTATATTTTTAACTTCTTCAGTTTATTGCCACATCAGTGCACATGCTAGAATTATCTATCACAAAACAAAGTTCGCAGTAACCAATGTAATTTAGCACTAGACTTTTTTGTCCTCGCCACTTGAAATAGAATCACGAAATATTGCAATGATTAATTAATCAAGATAGACTTAAAAAGTGAAAACAGTCCATTTGGGCACTGAGGAATATTACTTACAGTAATGTCAAAAATTGCAAAGTTCCCTTTTCAAGAAATATCCATTTTGCTAGCGATAAACGTCATTATGAGTTTTGATCACATGGTTACAATGGTTTCAGTTTGTGTTGGTAATGTACGTACGATGGACACTGCTAAATATAGCCGCTCACAGTCACATGACTGCAGGTCTTCAGTTGGATTGTAACCACATGATCTAAACATGTTGCTATCTTCACGAATTAATCATCGCGATATTTTCGTGATTCTATTTCAAATGGCAAGGACTATTTTGTTTTTCACTTGGTACTGTTCCCCATTCTTGTTGGGATGTCATTGTATATGGCAAGGTTGATGTATCAGTGCATTTTTAATGTCTGTACTGTATCGATACAAATTTATGAATATTGATAGTAAACGGATAAATATCTACACTAAACTGAACACAGAAATGTTTACATTTGCTGAGATTGCCATGGTTGATGGCACAGTAAGAAGGTTATTTTGAACATTAAATGGATCACCCTCATTCATACTTAGCATTATGCATGTTAATTTGATAAATTGCAGGTCCAGAAGGTATTCATACCTGTACAAATACAGAATAACTAACTTTTGTTATTAATTGATATATCAGGGCTACAGATAAGCAGCGTATTTGCGTAAAATACCCCCCAAAAATATTCAAGACCCAATTACTTTCAATTAACTTGCGTACAGAAATGAATGCATAAAATTAAAAACTCAGATGTATAAAAACAGCATGCATTAATACCCAATTAAGTTTTTTCAGCATGCGTACAAAGAGCTAATTTCCGAGACACAATTATGAGCTAATTTACTTTCTGAGTCAAGCCTATAAAATGTATATATTTAGTTATATACATCGAAAACATTTAATTTTTTTAAAATCTTGAACTGTTCACTAATTTTGGGAAAACCCAATAGAGTGACGAATAGATGAGTGAAAAAATATTGGTTACCCAATGAAAACGTAATAACCCAATTAAACTAGAAACCCTACATTTAAAACTCAATTGCTCAAAAAGGTATCTTGAGCTCTGTAAATCAGTGTATCATAATTTTGAATTGATTTATAGATAATCAATGACAGTCTAGTCACCTTATGTTTACACCAGTTAAATTGTTATTACATTTTGGTAAATGTTTAAGATGAATTGTTTTGGAGCCTGTGTTTTAAATATATGTAACCAAATTGTGAGATTTTTGTCACATCATTCGACAGGATGCCATTTGTTGACAATGAGTGAATCACCCCATAGGAAACTTCGACAATCTACGTTGCAGTTTAAGCCAAAACCAAGTTCACCAAAGAAAAGGAAAATGGGTAAATATTTATTCTTGTTATACCTCTATTAAGAGTCTTGCATTCTGTTGGTTAATCTGTACCACGTGACAAATGAAGTCATTTGAATGTTAACTCCCAAATCATGTGACTGACACTGATCTCGAATATTGACTTGTCACATGATCAGTTTTTACCTGTCACTTGATGAATATTGAAACATGGCGTCTGGTACTAACATTTCATGATTCGCAGCTAAATTACTATAATGAAACAGGATGGTTTAAAGGATTCATAAACTTAAAGTGAATTTCTGTATAACAAAGTGATTGAATCCTTTATGCAAAAACAAGTACCCTCGGACCCGACCCCTTCGTAGGTGTGACCTGACATGCATCCATGTTTTTGCATTTTGACCTCTTCCAAAGTAATCATTTGTATATTATTAGTAGGAGTAGGATTAGCAGTAAATGATATATGATTAATAATGTTTTACAGTCTGTGCCAAAGACTTTCCAAGTCTTAAACTTGGCCCTTAGCATCATCTGTTTGAACATTTCAAATTTATTATATGGACTTTCATTTGCTGAACAGAATTTTACTGGACCTGGGCTTCGAAACTAGTGGCTAAAATCGCAGACTGGTATTCCCATAAGCCCCCAAAGTCATGGTCACTGAGTTAATAGTGTATTTGTAATCCATGTTCTGTGGTCCATTTTGTATTAAATCATTCACGTCATGGAATTGCTCAAAGATGTGTAGAAATACAAGGTCAGGCTTAAGGTCTGGCCATTTAATATTCTTGGAGGGGTGGACAGGGGCTGGATAGTTGCTTGTGACTATACACTAAATCTTTTTTATATATTGAAAAATGACATCACATATTTCCCATGTTCTACCAGAACGGGAAAACCACGAACAAGAAGAGAAGAGGAAGAAGGCTGCCGATGCTGCAGAGAAGAGAGCGGCAAATTCGGCAGCTTCTCCTGAGCAAAGGTATGAGCAGTTATATCTGAATATGACCACTTCAGCTACCACTACCACAGGTCCCTGCCAAGAAGATCCATTACAGAATAGGTCTCCAGGAATCCATGCTTGTTGTATGAGGCGACTGACGGGATTGGGTGGCCTGACTCCCTGACTTGATAGATGCATGTTATGGTATCCCAAATGTGTAGATCCATGCTCATATCAATCAATGAATTGTCTGGTCTAGACCTGATTCCTTACATACTGCCATCAAACAGCAGGAATATTGCTGAGTGTGGTGTTAAACAACACAAAAACAAACTACAGGCCCAGGCTGAAAAACTGACCTTGGCGTTGACACAGACATGATTGATCAAGTCATAGACAATAGTGTTAAGGCCTATGGATATGAATGGTTAGAGCAAGGAGTTCGTGTACATTCACTTACTCCCTATTTAAAAGTCAATTTATATGTAAAAAGTATTTGCGCACAATAAGGAATGTGTAATCACAATGCAGTCGTATGTTTCACCTTTTACTCGGGTGACTTTTGGATTGCAAACACGCCATGTGCCTTCAAGATTCACAATTCAGATTAAATCCTCCTTGGGGCACTTATTGCATTTTCCTGGCTCAAGAAAATCTACATGACATAGTTGTAACCATTTTCCTTAATAAAAAATGTTACCACACAAAAAACTTCGTTTTTGTATGATATACGACCACCCTTATGGTGCCTCACCCTCCATGACGCGTCACGCCAAGCGATGCAACTCTCACCCAAATCACTTTCCTTATGTCATCTGACAAAGACAGACGTGCCTGTTTTTTTCAAGACTAACAAAAGTACAAGATTATCGTTCAAACAAGAACCATGGCTGACCAAACTGTATGTATGGTACATTTCTTTCATGCAAAGGCGTAATACCTCGCATTGTAAAGTTATAGAGTTGTAATTATATGACACGTGTACGATACCTTTGAAACAAAGGCCATCGTGGCGTCCATATTGTAGTGCCACGTATGGTACATGTAACACCAGGGCCATTTTTAATGTTATATCATCGGGCTTTGGCCTACAATCTTTTCCTTTAATAAACCCAAGGTGGTGTGTTAATTATATTTATATTACACTTACCTTTTTTACAGGTTTTTTACACCTTCGCGCATAACACGCCCACTTTGGTGTTATAATTATACTACAACATTGGCTATTAGTATCGCGTTACCAATCGCATTCTAAATTACGCCTTTGCTTCTAGTTTCACAATTTATGCACGTATCTTTCCGATCTTTCAATCGCACTGATACACTTTATTACCCTTCCCGCCCAACTCAGAAATTACGGTCTTTTTTACAGACCTTCAAACTGTGTACGGTGTGTTCCGCATCCATTCCCCCCCAAGACAGGCATGATACTTGCCTCAAGTGTCTGGCGGAAGACGGGCATGACGATGGGTCATGCCCGATCTGTATTGCTTTCACCCCCCGGGCTCAGAAAAAGAGACAAGTGGATCTCTTGCACTTTAAGGGTTTCTTGAAGGCGGGGGTGGATATAAGATCGGCAAAGACCGTCCCCCCCCCCCACCCCTCTAAAAAATCAAAAAAGGGTAAAAATGCAGCAGAGACTGTCTCCTCCGCTCCCTCCCCGGGGGCCGGGGGAGAAGGCTCTAGGGTTCCCGTAACAATCACTGCACCCTCTCCTGCACCGTCTTTGGCGGACATCTCTGCCTTGTTGAGGTCGCAGATGGCGTCGATGATGGAGGAGGTAAAGTCTCAGCTCCGAGAGGAGATGTGGACAGAGCCTTCCCCGTTGTCGGCGCCGGACGCGGCTTTGAGACCTCGTGATATGCCCGGCGTCGGCTGAGGCAGGCCACTTGGTCTCAGGGACGATCTCAGACTGGGCTTCGGCGCTGGCTGGAGGTCGCTCCCCAGCGGAGGGGTGGCGGGCGCTGGCCCGTTCACTTCCGAGGCACAGTTCTTCCTAGCGGAGCCAGACGCCTCTTCCAAGGCCGAAGCTTCCTCTAGCGGATTCCTAGCCCAGAGCCAGGTGGGTTCCCTTGAACCCCCGGCACCTTGGGACCGGGACTCCGCTTCGGGCCGGGTGCAGCCCGGGGATGCGAAGTCCCAGGCCTTCGGGTGTCCCCTTCCGACTTCGTCTGCCTCAGGGGCGGTCGGGTAGCCTAGTCAAAGCGTTCGCTCGTCACGTCGAAGACCCTGGTTCGAATCCCGACATGGGTACAATGTGTGAAGCCCATTTCTGGTGTTCCCCGCCGTGATATTGCTAAAATATTGCTAAAAGCGGCGTAAAACTATACTCACTCACTCACTCGTCTGCCTCATCTCTCGGGGAAGAGTCGATTAATTTAGGCTCGGAATGGAGAGAGGAGGAGTGGATGGAGGAGGGGGGGAGACATTTTCCTTCGCTTCCTCGTTGAGGCTTGTACAGGACAAGATTGTCCAGGTACTGCCTCAGGTGGCTGCGCCCATGCCCCAGTCGGATCCGACTGAGTTCCGCCTTCCGGGGGACGCTTTTGCTCCGAGCAAGGCGCCCCAGGTGCGGCTCCGTGTTCTATCCTCACTGGTGCATGAAGTCATCAACCCTCTGTTGTCGGTTGCCCGCAGGAAGTTTGACCTGCCCGAACTTATTAAGCGGTACTCGTTAGCAGAGGATGGTGACTTTGAGGTACCGGTGGTGGATGAATGCGTCTGGACCTCCGTTACCCTGGGGGGGGTCTTCGACCCCCAACTTGACTAAGGTCAAGCAGGGCCGGCGGTTGCCACCCTATCCCGCGTGCGGTGCGGAGTTGAAGGCTGCTCACGTTTGCTTCGAGGAGCAATATCGTAACGCATGTCAGCAGCTCCGTGTGTCCGTACACTCCTCATATCTGTCGGCGGTACAGAGGGAGTTAGCGGGAGAGGGGCCGGCTGACTCCTCGGAGTTGGCCGCGCAACTTACGGAGGTCCATAGTCATCTTGCGAGGGACGCTATTCATAGCTGTGCCTCGCAGATGATGTGCGCAGTCATGGGCATGCGCAGGCTGTGGATGTCAGTATCCAAATACTCGGCTTCCACACGCCAGGATCTACTTGCTTTGCCATATAAGATGGGTGCCACCCTCTTCCCTGGGGCTCAGCAGGTGGTCCGAGAGGCCGCACAGTTGTATGCCTCCATCAAGGATTCTAAGGCCTTGTTGGAGGTACCATGCGTTAAACCTCGTAAGCGAACCTCTCCACTTGACTCCTCCTACGCTGACGCGCCGGGTCAGAAGTTTGCACCTGCTTGGAAACAGCCGCTTCCTTCAGGTAAGGGCGCCGGGAGGAGCAAGAGAGGCAGGGGCCGGGGCAAGGCAGCTGGTCAAGGCCAGCAGCCTTTTCGCGGAGCCGGGAACCCATCAGGTTCCTATTAGCGCACGAAGTGCCCCGGGCAGACCCACGGTCGCATGTTATCGAACTGCCGACAGCTGGGGTCCACTGCCTCAGGCCGGATGTCCCCGTAGGCGGCCAACTGGCTCTATTCCTGAAGGAATGGGAGACAGTCACATCCAATCCCTGGACCCTGTCCACTCTAAGGAATGGCCATTTGCCTCGGTGGAAACATCATCTGCCCCCCTTCTCCGGGATAAAGCACACTCCGGTGCCTGCTACTCGAGAGAAGGCGGAATTCCTCCGTGCCGAGGTCGACGCACTTCTTATGAAGGCTGCGATCGAACCGGTTCCCGTGGGACAGGAAAGCGAGGGCTTCTACTCGACATATTTCCTAGTCACCAAAAAAGACAGAGGGTTCAGGCCTATTCTCAATCTGAGAAGGCTGTACAAACTTATAGAGGTACCGTTCTTCAGGATGGAGACACTGAGCTCGGTGATCTCAGCTGTCGAGACAGGAGAATGGCTAACGTCAATAGACCTAAAAGACGCCTATCTCCACGTACCCATACACCCCGAGTTCAAGAAATACCTGAGGTTTTCTTTCGACGGGAGGTGTTATCAGTTCAGGGTTCTACCATTCAGGATCTCCATGGCCCCGAGGGTGTTCGCCAAGCTGATGTTGATTCCCGCCCAAGTGGGCAGGTCAAAAGGTCGGTTCTGCCATCCGTACCTCAACGACTGGTTACTAGGAGCTCTATCGCAATCCCTGAGTCAGATAGCTACACAAGAAGTGATAGACATTCTGATCACTCTAGGGTGGATAATCAATCTCAAGAAGTCAGATCTGAACCCTACTCAGAATCTAGTCTTCCTAGGGGCGAATTTCAACACGGTGAGCGGACTTGTATCTCTGTCACAAGATCTCATTACCAAGGTCAGAAGTGTTATTTCCCAGTTCCTTCTGTCCGCAAGTCACATGGCTCGTACATGGCTCCAGTTACTGGGCAACATGGCGGCGACAGTGGATGTGGTTTAGCGGGCGCGCTTGAGAATGAGACCCATTCAACAAGCGCTCAGTCGACTTTGGGTGAACTCGGAAGATCTCGAGACTCCGCAGTGGCTCAATGCACACCTTCAGTGGTGGACCGAGCTCGGGAATCTATCCGGCAGGCTCCCCCTCGACACTCCCGTTCCGTCTCTCACAGTTCAAACAGACGTGTCACTCTCCGGCTGGGGAGGAGTTCTGAACGATCACACTGCCTCGGGACTATGGTACCAGCAGGAGATCAAACTGCATATCAATGTTCTAGAACTGAGAGCGGTCAGGTTGGTGTTCCAACGCTTCCTGGATCTGCTTCGTAGCCAAGTGGTGCGTCTAGAGATGGACAACCAAACGGCGATGACTTACATCCGGAAGTAGGGGGGAACAGTGTCTCCGTCGCTTCTCCAAGAGATGTGGCAGTTCCTCCTATGGTGCGACTCACACGTTATCAGGGTGCTACCTGTTTATCTCGCGGGGGTGGACAACGTCCGTGCGGACGCTCTGTCTTGCCGGATACTCGCTCCTCACGAGTGGAGGCTCGACTCGGGGATATTCGGGATTATCTCCCAGTTATACGGGTCGTTCCAGGTGGATCTGTTTGCATCTGGGGTGAATCACCAGACACCAACGTTCTGCTCCCGAGTCCCCGACCAGAGGTCGATGTCACCGGACGCCTTCCAGCTAGATTACCGCCGTGATATTGCTGGAATATTGCTAAAAGCGGCGTAAAACCTCACTCACTCACTCACTCCAGCTAGATTGGACGGACAGAATTCTGTGGGCATTCCCCCCAATACCTCTGATTTCCAAGGTCCTGTCTCAGCTAGCCACTCAGCCTGCGCGACTACTTGTGCTCCTGGCACCCCTTTGGTCGGCGCAGAGTTGGTTTCCAGTAATACTCAGGTTTCTGGCTCAACCTCCTGTTCTATTACCTTTACGACCGGACCTCCTATCCCAGAACGGGGCCCTCCACCCAAATCCCAGGATTCAGTGGGTGGCTTGGCCACTGTCAGGAATCGCCTCCAGAAGAGCGGTATTCCTGCACGAGTTGCAGACACAATACTGGCCGCGGAGGGATTTGACAAACGTTCAGTACGAGGATAGATGGGCCTGCTATGCGCGCTGGTGTGTCGATTGAGGGATTGCAGATCCCTTTTCTGCAGATCTCGTAGCCGTGCTTGAGTTCCTCCAGTCGCGACTAGATGACGGCCTGGCATCGACAGTCCGGGGGAACTCTACAGCTATTGTAGCCTTTCACGTCCCTGTCGACGGGGCACTTCTGGGTGTGCACCCATTAGCGCAGCGCTTTTTAGCAGGTGTGGACAGGATCTGACCGCCTGTCCGGCGGATCAGTCCCCCTTTGGACTTGTCAATCGTTCTTGATTGGCTGTCCGGTCCTTCTTTTCGGGTTCTGTCGTCTCTCTCTCTTCAGCTGTTGAGCTGGAAGACGGCGTTCCTTGTGGCGGTAACGTCCGGCAGACGGGTAGGCGACATTCACGCAATGTCAGCCGATCCCGAACTAACTGTCTTTCACCGGGACAGGGTCAGTATTCGCCTGTCAGACTCTTACCGTCCTACGGTCGCACACGCCTTCTACGTGACGGCTCCTTTTGAGCTACCTGCTCTCTCACAGCCTTCCTCGTCGGGGACCACTACAAGACATGCTCATGTCATGGATGTCTGTAGGACCCTCAAGTCCTATATGAGCGGACTAAGGGTATCCATAAGGATAATCAACTATTTTGCTGTTATGGCGGTAGGAAGGCTGGCTCACCTGCGAGCAAACAAACTCCAGGTGGATAGTGTCTACTATCTGTACTTCGTACACCCTTCAAGGCAGGGACCCCCCTACCAAGTTGAAGGCTCATTCGGTTAGAGCAGTGGCTATGTCACAAGCTTACGCCGCGGCTCTGCCCATTGAGATCTGCTCCGCAGCTATTTGGAGCCAGCCGAGCACGTTCATCAAACATTACCAACTCGACAAACAGTCAAGCAAGCGTGCTCGGTTTGGTCAGTCAGTTCTCCGAACTGGGAAAAGTTCTGCATCTCTAGCTGATTGAGCGTTCGAGATTTTAGACCGCCCAGACTGGTTATAAAACTGCTCAGTAACGGTCCGGATTATATCTTCTACGGTCAATAAAAATACCAGCCCTTACTACTCGATAATAATCGTATTTGCACACGCACTCCTTCGATTCATGGGGACCCTCTGGCCTAGCTCTGCGCGGGTTTATAGTCTCTCGTGATCTGCGCCCCTATATCACTTGTTCAAAAAAGTGTGGGGGGGGGGGGGGGGGCTCGAGTTCTCGATATGATAAGCCACAAAGAATGGCTCTTTTCATTGTGTATGGTCGACCACGCCCTGTCTCTAGCCCACGCCTTTCGACGGTGGTGCCTCACGATAAGGTTGGTTCCATTTATTAAACTCTTGTTTATTCATTGAAATAATCAAAATACGATGTATTTATGCACACTTGTTGCTGACGGATGCCACTTCCTAGATTATCTTTAGGAGTCTATCTTGATGCAATGAGTGCCCCAAGGAGGATTTAATCTGAAAGAGAATTTTACAAACATGTAGATGTTATGAATTCTCTGATGAAATCCTCCTTGGGACACGGCCACCCACCTCCCCACATTCCGTCAGCATTAGACATATGGAAAGTGATTTGGGTGAGAGTTGCATCCCTTGGCGTGACGCGTCATGGAGGGTGAGGCACCATAAGGGTGGTCGTATATCATACAAAAACGAAGTTTTTTGTATGGTAACATTTTTTATTAAGGAAAATGGTTACAACTATGTCATGTAGATTTTCTTGAGCCAGGAAAATGCAATAAGTGCCCCAAGGAGGATTTCATGAGAGAATTCATAACCTCTACAGGTTTGTAAAAATATTTTTGTTTGTATATATGTATGAACTTTCTGTTGCTTGTATAGTGATGACAAGAAGCCTCAAACTTCGAAGTACTTTGACAATAAGGAAGGCACAGAACCAAAAGAAGATAAAGGTACTCAAGTAAATTTGTTGTTCAAAGTTATATGTTTACATTTATCATCATCATCATCATCATCATCATCATCATCACCATCATCGTCATCGTCATCATCATCATCATTCATTTTTGTGAAACCGACCTTAAGTGAGAACATTTCAGATGTATAGTTGCAGCTTAATGCCTCAAATATGTACACTAAATATAAAATTAACTGATTTGCAGCAAATAATTGCTCATTGACACCAATATGGTGCCTTGTAGTCATCACTGTTTCAACATTTACAAGGAAAACATTTAAGAAAGTTTGAAAGTTTCAAGTTTGCTGATGCTGTATCTGCTTCTAGCTATGGTGGGGACTAGGTGGCCCTCTTGTTTAAGTTGTGTCCCATTTGGCATACCAAATACAAAATGGGGGCGGTCGGGTAGCCTAGTGGTTAAAGCGTTTGCTTATCACGCCGAAGACCCGGGTTCGATTCCAGACATGGGTACAATGTGTGAAGCCCATTTCTGGTGTCCCCCGCCGTGATATTGCTGGAATATTGCTTAAAGCGTAAAAGGCATAAAAAAAGACTCACTCACTCACCAAATACTTATGACTGGGTTCGAATCCAAGATTCGCCCTTTATTATAGGTTTGTTCGCACCATACCTGTGTTCATCGATTTCACCAAAGTCTAAAAAGTCTAAGAAGGCATTTCAGCTTCATGTGAGAAGAAAGCTTGAATGCCGTAATATAACTTTAATACTGTTCGAAACAGCATCAAGCCAAACTGATTCACTCATCACATCCAAGGCGGGGGTGAATATGACTATGTTGTATGTTTAGAAATCAAACCCACAGAAAAGAAAGCTGGTGAAGGAATTTCTGAAACGGCTGGGAGTTCGGTGGATCCCCAAAAGGAGAAGCCTGACGAGGAAGCATCAACCCAGCCGTACAAGATGTCCCCGGAAGAACCAGGAGAGTATGTCTGCTTCTTGTACTCTACAATGCATGCATTACCACGCAACATACAGCCTTAGACAATTTCTAATCTCACACTATGCAATTCTTCCTTCTTGCAATCCTTATGTGGAAACGTGCTTGATCAAAGTTTCCAGCTTCTAAAAAACAATTCACCCAAACACCCATGGTCACCACCAAAACGATAGGGTCCGGCACTGAAATCCTGTGCACTGTGACCTACCACCACTACCAAATCATTCTCTTTCTCATTGCCAAATAGTGGAGACGTGCCCTGACATTCAAGAGAAGTTAGAATTTTTTTTGACAGGATTCCCTTACAGCAGCATTTAGATTACGTATTTAATTTGAGGGATTGTGGAAAGGTATATTATTATAAGCTGTAGAGTAATTGTACTGTATTAGCTAACATTAGGCATCAAAGATGAATATTGATAGATATTGCTTTCACCGGAAATTGTAAAGTCAAAATAATTCACGAGACATGTTTCTGGTGGAAAAGGTTTGTGGGAAATTGTGGGAATTGGCCTTGAGTCAATTATTTGCCATGATGTGGCTAGAAAATGGCTAACTATGGTGTAAAACAGCATTTACTCATTAATTCATAAAATCTGTTCATAACTGGTTTGGGTCACTGTTTCTGATGGGGCCATTGAGCTGATCATCTGGGCAGTTTGGTGGGTAAATGGTGCTGTACACTTGGACTTTCAGCTCGCAGAAGACAGAAGCATCTGATGACTCCCTGGATGGAGTGATGCAGATTGATATCCCAAACAAGAAACCCAGCATGCTGCAGCGAGAAAGCAGCTGGAGGGTGAGTACCTGCTTGTCTTGCATAAAGATCCAGGCTAGAATTGCAACCCATGCTTGTCATAAGAGGTGGCTAATGGGATCTGGGTGGTCAGACCCAATTGTGAAGATGATGCTCATGTCAATCACTGGATTGTCTGGTCCAGACTTGATTATTACAGATCGCCATCATGTAGCTGATATATTGCTGAGAGCAGCGTTAAACAACAATCAAGCAAACCTACTTGTCACAACAGCTTGATGGAGAAAACACAGAAATACATAGATTTGAGATGGAGATATTCACTCAGTTAGCATACTGTTGTAACAATGTCACATAGAATTGTCGGTGATGTCAGGAACAATGAATGACATCTTCTTTAAATCTTTCGACAATTTATTCATATGATGTCATAGGGTTGTCTGCACCATACTCATGCTTGTGGGTCTCACCAAAGTGGGAAACGTCTGAGACCTGCATCACTTCAGGCTATCCTCTCGCAGTAAGCTGACATGCCGTGACATAACTGGAATACTGTTCAAAGCTGTGTGAAAGCCAATTCACTAATATGACGGCATGTTCCAATGGCCCTCTTTGCTAACAATGGAACCATTGGACTGCACTGGCCAGTCGGCAGGAATAAAAACTGATAATGCTGAGTGAGAATTACTGAATATGATTGCACCAATACACTTGCCCCTTTTGGTAATATTAAAGAAATACACCCCTGGCCAAAATTGTAATGCAGACATTTTTACCCTTGCTGACGTCTGGAAGAGTCCATAATAGCAGAATGGGTCAACTAGTCAAACCTTTATTCAAACATGGGACCTACAAAGTATCATGCTTCATAATTGTTTGCTATTCTTCTGATTCTTTGGAAGTTCATTGTTGTGCATGGAATTGTTTGCCACAACAGTTCGTAAGTGATTGTCATGACTATTCAAAACTTTTTAATAAGTTAGTATATTGAATTTGCCAACCATAAAAATTGAAAAAGTGGAACAAAAATTAAGAGCTTTCCCTCGGAATGCAAACTCATTTGTTCTTTTGCATTGTGACCAATGTATCATGACCTTGTTGTATCATTTCACCTCTAATTTGTACACAGGGCATTAAGCTGAAAGACCTGAAGACAACTCCCAACTGTTTAGGTTCGGTGAAACCCCTCAGCAAGAAGGACCATACAGTGCTCATCAAACTGCCAGTAAGTTGCCAAATCACATTTTTGAAGCATGTTTCTTTAATGCAGAACCTGTACATGGGAAACCATGTTTATCAGGGTAGTCTGGAAACGCTGCCCTTCTGAAGATTGGCTCTGTGGAGAGTTTAGATCTGTGGTCGCCAGCAGCCTATTATGGTCATAAGAGGCGACACAAGGGATTGGGAGGTTAGGCTTGGTTGATGGTGTGTCCTCATACCTTGACCACCTGGAGCATTGCTCATAATATCAATCACGAGATTGTCTTGTCCAGACGATATAATATACAGAACGCTGCTCATATGGACGAAAAGGAACGTGATGTACTGTAAATGTGGAAAGTTTTACGAGCAGGAAAGTACTGCAAAAAAAGTGAGCAGCACACACTCGCAATAGCTTCATGACGCAGTTATTTAAGACCAAAACACCAAATACGGAGTGCAGCATGTTTCTTTTATTCCCTTTCCCACATTTTTAACCCAGTCAGATTAAATATATCATCCTTCACATCCTGTGTCACTCACTGTCCATAGCCTAATCAGGAAAGTTCAAGAACCTGCCACATCTTGTTAAGTTGCTTAACACTGAGTAGTCCAGACATGCACCAGTCAGTCTATACTGTTAGATACACATGCTACTCCAACAATTCCTGGTCAACTATAACACCTACAGCTTTAATTTTAAAATATCTTACAGACACCGAGTTACAATTTCATCACCCCACTCATGCAAAAGTAGCCCTGGCTTGGTTAAAACAAGAATTGCAATTACATCAGCTATCTGTCATAGATCTCCGAGACCACCTCCGTGGTCTAGTGGTAGAGCTTCTGCCTGGAGAGCGGAAGTTCCGGGGTTCGATCCCTTGTCATACCAAAAGAAGCTAAAAGAATGGTACTTGTTGTTACCCTGTCTCGCACTCGGCATTAAGGGGCTTAAACATGGACTGGTCGGCTCGGAGTCAGTGTACCGTGTGGGATAGTCAGTTATGCAACCTTAAACCCAGTTTCACCTCACCTCATCTGAAGCCAAGAGATGCAATAGCGAAGATCAAACTAGCTGTATTTCTGAGAGATGGACAGCTATTTGAACATATATAAACAAAGCAGCCAAAGATAAAAAATGAAATCATATCTTTATACGAAAGTAGAATTATTTTATCAATACAAAAACAGAATACTAAAACTCACAATTGATATGAGGACCCAAGGCAGAAAGCGACCTCTTAAACACTTAAAGCAACAAGTAGCTTTGAACTTTGGTAATTTTCATCAACGGACTTTCCAGCCACAGTTAATGTTATTGTTAACTAACATGGCGCTAAACTTAACAGATTTACAATATTCAAACCCATGTTCTAATACATGCTCAATATGTACTCTTAGCATATGACACACGTGGCATGGGTAAGAGCATAGTTTTCTGTTCAATTACAAGCCACACTATAGTGTGTCCAGCCTTGGGCAAATCAAGGCCAGGGTGTTTGAAATGTCAGGGGAAAAAAAAGGACTGCTGAGAAGGTTTTATGTACTGAAGAATATTTCAACTTTTGTGTCTTTTTTTTCAGTACATCTTCAGTGACAAAGATACATGTCCTCCATCGCCCTATCCAGCAGGCTTCTTGGACAAATGGGATCAGGATCATGTGCGCATGCCTTGTTCACCGCAGAATGAATACCCAGTTGAAACCAAGGTGAGACAACTCTTGCAGTGATGCCGACCTTTGCAATTTTGGTGGAATCATTACAAAATGTTGAACAAAATTCCCCAAAATGATTAAGTGAATTATGTTACAAATTATGTCCAAAAACTATTTCCTGTAATTTAAACTAGATATTGATCCCACGTCCACTCATTGTCAGACATACAACCATTTGATAATTAGTTAAAAAAAGAATTCCTTGTTTTAACTTGTGATGGGAAGGTTTACTGCTGAATTTTCTGAGAGATTTAGCTGATAACATGAGGTGATGTGAAATGTGGTTTAATGGCACTGTCAAGATTATTGCACTCTTGATGGTTTTGTAGTGCTAGGTCACTGAAATACCATACATCTGTTTAACATGGATATCCCACTCAGACACAGTATACTGACTCCAAACTGACTTGTCCTTGTTTTATAAACTTAATGCCACCCACCAGGCAGGGTAACGACAAGTGTCTTCTTTTAACGTCTATTGGTATGATGCAACTGGGGAATCAAACCGCTGACTTTCAGTTCTCCGGAACACACACTCTTTCAACTCGACCAAGGTGGCGGCCAGTCATCAAGACCGTCTTCAGCAACCCATGTTTGCCGTAAAAGGCGACTAACAGGATCGGGTGGTCAGGCTCGCTGACTTGGTTAATTCATGTTATCGATCCCAATTGCGTGAATCGATGTTCATGATGTCAGTCACTGGATTGTCCAATCCAGACTTGGTTATTTACAGACCGCCGTCATATAGCTGGAATATTGCTGAGTGCAGCGTTAAACAACAAACAAACATCATCAAGACCATATTATAGTCAGACATGCTAAAATTGATTACTGAGTTTAGATACCAAGTTTCCCAGATATTCCTAATTGCCTCAATGTGGGGAGGGCATCTCTGCTTTTGCTACCAAGGCAAAATATGTGCAAGTCACAAAATTACCTACCCGTGAAGATCCTGGTTAGAATAGGTCTTCAGCAACCCATGTTTGCGTAAAAGGCGACTATGCTTGTCATAAGAGACAGCTAACAGGTTTGCGTGCTCATGATGTCAGTCACTGGATTGTCTGGTCCTGACTCAATGATTTACAGACTGCCATCATGTAGCTGGAATATTGCTGAGTGCGGCGTTAAACAACCACAAACAACAAACAAACAACAAAATTTACATTGCGTAATATGATCACTGTTTTGTCATTTGTCTGTATTTTAGAAAATCATTTGCAATTAGGAAATGTTGGTTCTGAGTGTGTTGACATACATACAAGAGGCTGATTACCTGCAAAATCGTGTATAATCTGATCGGCAAATCACATCACCTCACCATGAACTCGCCTTGAAACGAACATTATGAAATTTATTTCTGTTATGATATTGGCCATGACATTAAGTATGTTTTAAACTAAATCACCAATAGATCGGGAGAAAATGTGTGATCAGCTGATTGCTATTTCCGGCTTATTTTACGAGACAAATACACAAGTAACCTTAATCCCTGCGTCTGAAACATTGTCAGGCTTACGGTACACAAATACCATTGTATTTGTAAATCATCATGTCTAGTGATGTTTCATTCAAAATTCATGTTTTCATTTACCATTTTTGCAAATGGCAAAACAAGCACAAAATCTCCTAATGCCGCCGTGTCCATAACACAAGTAAAGCCATGCACATGTAAAGGATTGTGTTGTTTTTAGGTATTGTAGCATTTCACTGTCGGGGTCGTGTTTGGGGAAAGTTTAAGGAATTTTTTTGGGAAAGCTTCCAAACCGTGATAATTGGAATACTGTTCAAAGAAGTGTAAAACTAACTTGCTTACTCACTCAGTATGGGCTTTGGGTATTTGGGTATGTGCCTAATATTTTTCATATTTCAGGAATACTGAAATTGTTTTTCCTGTGTTGAAAAGTGCATTGTTATGACATTTTTAGAGAGATTGTGTAATATTTCCACTGCAGACCAGCAAAACAACACTTCGTCGACGCTGGGAACTCATTGGAGAAGCTTTATCAGGAAAAATCAGTGGTCCTTTTGAGTTGGAGGTTTGCATATATTTTGAATACAAGAGAATTGTCCTCCTGTGTTGAAGGATAGCCTGCTGTAACAGCTATGTATAATGTAGAAAAGCAGGACGTTGTCCTTGTTGGCTAGAAATGTATTTATAATGTGGTTGGCATGATGTTCACACTGTTAGTTTAAGGAACTCTTCACTTCAACTTATTATTAACAATGGCTTTTAATCTCTTATCTTGTAGTTGTAATCATTCGTCACCACTCTCCCCTTTCCGTAACCTGCAAGAAGACTCACCCCCCTATCGATGAATGTTATGTGCGAAAATACGACAAACCAATCAGAATGTGTGTATGATTTCAAGTTCTTTGTCAAAGAATCCCTCAGAAATAATTTCTGTTTTTACATATGTCTTGCATCTAAAAATATACCCAAGACATAGTTAAATGTGTTCAACCATACTTTATAAATTCGTATGTCCTGATGTGCTTTAAATTGCATCTGAAATATAAATAATATATGGGGAAATATATGTGAACCATTGCACGAGTTGACAATTGTTTTAGGTATGCCCGTTTGTGCTAAGACGGAACCCGATTGCAAACATGGCCATGAGAGGGGCACGAGTCGCTATTCGACTTGTCCCGGAATAACACGAGTTGGACACAAATGAGTTGTAATATGCAGTAGGGTAGCCTAGTGGTCAGAGTGTTCACTTGATTCGTCTGCCCCGTGCTTGCTTACTTATCTTCTGTCCAGGGGTCCGGAAAATTTAAAATCCCAATCGGACATTTGCATTTAGGCCACGCCCCCTTCAAATAGCGTATTTTAGGACGAATTTTCACACACATTACAAGTTGTTACGTATTTTTATTTTATTTTAAACCAGACATTTGAGATTCCCAATCGGACATGTCCGGCGCATATGACGGTTTCCGGACCCCTGCTTCTGTCATATTTCATGTATTTCCCTCTCACTCAAAAACAAAGTCATGTGATTATTTGAAAGTGTTTCTGTCTGTGTGCTATGACAGTTGTGATTAGACTGGAAATTAGACTGTGTTGAAACCGAGTACCACTTCCTGCTTATTTGTCCATCGTATGTCAAGTTACGGCAACTATATCTCAAAGCAAAGTTCTATTGTGATCCTAACGTTCATAAATTTAATATGCTTCTGTCATCACCAGAGACATATATTATTACAAATCTAGCAAAATATCTATATTATGCAAATGAAGTAAGAAATGCGAAACTGAAAGCTTAAAACCTTTCTGTACTCAACTTTTGTACACAAAGGCCTGTGGCCTATATGTATTGGAAATAAAATGAAAATGACAGTTTTCATAATGGCACATACTGATGTTTTCACAACTGTGGAAACCATGAGCTTTGTTCCACCAATTCACAAGGAAAACTGCAGGGATTTTATCAACCAATTCTTGTGTCTCATTATTGAATTTGAAAATTACCATTTGGTAATGCCAAGGTAAAAAGAATAAAAGATCTTTAATAGATTGAATGGATGATTAAACCGTACTTAAAGAACTTACATGACATTAGTAACAAGGATGTTTACATTATTTGTCACAAGTCATGTATTTGTAGACTGCACAATCTCATTAAAAAAGGATCTTAGTTCTCGCTATTGCTGAACAAAGATCTGAGGACATCCCATCAGGACGACCTTTCATCTGACCAATCAAAGCGTAGCTTACCAATCGAAATGTGTTTTCTAATCATGCAACCTCGAAAACGTTAACATGGGGTATTCCGAATGACAGTTATGGCCCGTACGACTGATTCCGTCAAAATTATCGTCTGTCTCTCACTTCCGTGGGATAAACATTTGAATGGAGGATGCGTTGCACAGTACGTGGGAAGCACTGCCATACAATCTCAATCATATATTAGACATTCCGGAATGTTTGTTTGTTGAGTTTTCAAAATTTTAATCGAGAACTGTGTCAACATATTTTTCAAGCGTAGTCTGAAATGGAAGTCGCCAGGTTGAAACAAGTGTCATAAAGCTTGAGAAAGCTGCTTTCTAATTGGCTGATGTCGACTTCTTGTTAGTCATTTCAGTTGTCTGTCAAAGTTAGCGAAAGGTCGTTCTGACGTGACCCGTAATGGGATGTCCTCAGATCTTTGTTTAGCGGCAGTGAGAACTTAGAAATGTTTTTAAAGAGATTGGTAGACTGCAATACCGATGTAAAGGAATATTTTAGTGTTGATGTTGGATTAATACAAATTAATGAATGTTGACACTGAATTAATAAAAACATTAACATTTATTAAGATTTCCATGATCATGATGATGAGAAGGCAGAAAATTCAGTTTTAAACATTTAATGGATCAACCAAGTTCATATAGGTAATTTGTATCAAAACACATACAGAATAATTGATTTTATAATTAATCAATATTTCAATATATCATGATACTTTTGAGTCGATATATGGATACTAATATTTCCTATCGCAGACACTCCTATTTGTCAATATTGGGGTGTTTTTTTCTCTTTCTAGGATGCTATACTTACATACAACCAGAGGTATTCCAAGAAGTGGGATTTCACAGCTATGAAACAATACTTTATAGACGTATGTATCCTAGCTTTTTCTCATCATACAATATTACATTGAACAGCTGATTGCTGTCTGGGATTCCGGGATTGAATTACTTCCAGCATCCTATGTTTGTTGTAAGAGGAGACTAAATGGACCAGGGAGCCAGGCTTAGTGACGTGCTTAATAGCATGTCATTGTACCCTGACATTGTACCTTTGAAATATTACTCATAATATCAATCACTGGTTTGTCAGGTCCAGGCTTGATTATTTACAGGCCACAGTCATCTAGCTGGAATATTGCTGAGCATATTAATCTAGGAAGACAAAATCCCTATCTTAAGTCTTATGGTTGTCTTTCTCACACTATGCATTTCTTCCTTCTTCTTTTGATCCTGTGTGGTAACGTGTGTGAACAAAGTTTCCAGCTTCTAAAAACAAATCCCCTGAACACATCCCAGCATCACCATGGTCACTGCCATCCTGTGCAAAGTGACCTACACAACCCGATAACAAGAATACTACCTAATCCTTCTCTTTCTCACTGTGGAGACCTGCACTGAGACTTCAGAGAATACACTTTTTCGCTTTTTGGCTGGATTTCCCGCCAATATCGGATGGACTTTAGGTTAATGTTTGAGGGAAGATGAGTACAAATAAGAAACCTCACCCAGCCTGTCTTGAATGGAGAACGACCATTTCTACTCCTCTAGGAAGTGTTGTAGGTTATTTATTTGTGTCACTGCCTCGCACGAGCTTCCACTGTCTCAAGATTGTAGTCTACAACAGGGTAAGGTATCTGAGCCCCAACATCCAAGTGTGAGATAGAAAAGGTTTAAAATTTGTAAATTTTACATCAAATTGTATATGTATATACTTATCCTATTTCTAGCCATATGCCCTCCCGACCATCCCCGCACATCAGCCCCTCTAGCCTGTTAGCTCAGAAAATTAATGATGTCGCAGGAGTATTCACATGATCAGGTCGTGTAGGTCACTGTGCACGTATTACAGTGCATGACCCGTTTCTTTGGATGGTGACCATGGTGACGCCGGGATGTGTTTTGGTGATTTGTTTTGTAGAAGCTGGAAACTTTGTTCAAGCACATTTCCACATAGCATCGAAAGAAGAAGGAAGAAATGATTATTGTGAGATAGGATAAGTGAGTAAACAATTTCATATAAAATTTACAATATTTTTTATTACAGTATATGAGGAAAGAAGAACGTAATGACTTTTTTGCCAACACTCTTCCCAAGATGGTAAAACTAGCATTACAACTACCTTTGCTGTGCACAATGGTAAGTGGTCATTTAGTGATTACTGTTTTGATTCAGTGACGGAGTTGAGTGGCATGAGGGGAGGGGTTCATGATGGGGTTTCAAAGTCAAGCATTAATACTGTGTAGCATTGCATTTCAGATAAATTCATCAGTAAGTTGTCTGATTGATTTGAAACACACACTCTCTCACAGACACACAATCACACACAGACACACAATCACACACAGACACGCATGCCCACACCAACATGCAGACACGCACAGACAGAGGCACATGCAGACACACACATTTTACCTGGCCCTATAAGTAAATCACTTCTTTTGCAATAAATAAGTCGTTTTCAATTTGTCATTCAGGTGACTTAAAAATACATGACCTACTATTCTTTGTTTTATCATGTTTAACCGAGACTGTTTGTGTCTGTGCCCTTGATGGGGGGTTGAAGTAGTGTAAAACTATTATCCCCTTCAAGGGTATACCATAGTCATTCAAAGAATTTACCAGTATTATAATGCGCACCTAGAGAGTTGGTGTAAGTCCTGCTAGGGCACCATGCAGGTAGCAGAGGTATCATAAGCCCCCATAGTCCCTAGGAAGGTGGCGTACTTTTGATTGATGGAGAACTATGGCCTTTTTTATATTGTGCTGTTGTTTAAAAGGCTGTTCTTAATATTCTTATCAGAATAGTTTTAAATACAAATTTGCGATGTCACAAGTTGTTTTTACTGTTTAATGTTACTGTCCTTAGACAGGGTTTTTAGAAAATATGCATGCATTACTTCACCTAGTCACAATAAAGCTGACATATTGTCCTAACATTATGACTCACCCACTCACTTGTTGGTATCATGTATTCCCAGCCTATTCCACTGCTGAAGCAAGGCAAGCCACATTCTATAACCATGAGTCAACAGCAAGTAGCGTGTCTTCTTGCCAATGCCTTCTTCTGTACATTTCCCCGCCGGAATGCAAGACAGCGGCATGCAGAGTACTCAAATTACCCAGAGATCAACTTTAACATGTAAGTAAAAGCTATTTTATACTGGCATTTGAGAAATATCAAAGTAGGTTTTCATCTCAACACTCTGTACTTGTAAGAGCTGACTGAATCTGTAATCTGTAAATCATAACACGGTCTTCAGATGTATGTGATGCAAAGTGCCTAACATAGATAGAATCTTGTCTGGCAGTATTCCAGCAAGCAAACGCTTGTATCTCCATCTCTGTTTGTTTTCTAATTGTAGTAAAGGTAAATATGGCAGTAACATAAATTAGGGATTTTTAGTGGAGTGTTTCCATATTGTAATTATCATTTTTTATGAATAAAATTGTATTATATATGCTGTGGCAAGCACACAAGGGTAATACTGTAATAATCAATTCATCTTTTGTCATTCTGTCATCTCTGCCTATAAGACAATTTCACAAGTAACAGGAAGTTTGAAATGGGAAATCAATATGTCAATTCATGTTTTATCGCAAATTTCACATTTTCATTGACCATGTTTACTATCTCCTGTTCGTTCACCTGAAGCAAAACGATGTAGTTTTTTTTACTGTTCACGATACTTGAAATAGCAATTTTCCCAAAACTTGTACCCAAGAATGGAGGTGTGTATTTTACTCAAGTATGCACTGTACCCAACAAAACACGGTATGATAACTACTGCTTGCAGATTGTTCCAGGGCCACCCAAGTCGGAGGAAAATGGAGAAACTACGGTGTGTCATCCACTACTTTACACGAGTTACAGACAAAGGTAGGTGAGAAGTGGTGCCAAACTTGATGTATTGTGAATGCTTGTCATAACATTACCTGATGTTCCATTACAATCACCTGAGTACCAATGCAAGAATTGATGTTTAAACCCGGACTAATGGAAGGAATTAAATATATACTATCATCAGTTCTATTTGATGATAATATTCCCTCTATTCTATTGGTTTCATGCCACTTGTAGTGCCCCTAGGTACAGTAACTTGAACTGTTTCTCATAACCCTTGCAGTGCCCCTACGTACAGTAACCTGAACTGTCTCTCATTACCCTTGCAGTGCCCCTACGTACAGTAACTTGAACTGTTTCTCATAACCCTTGCAGTGCCCCTACGTACAGTAACTTGAACTGTTTCTCATAACCCTTGCAGTGCCCCTAGGTACAGTAACTTGAACTGTTTCTCATAACCCTTGCAGTGCCCCTACGTACAGTAACTTGAACTGTCTCTCATTACCCTTGCAGTGCCCCTACGTACAGTAACTTGAACTGTCTCGCATTACCCTTGCAGTGCCCCTAAGTACAGTATCTTGAACTGTCTCTCATAACCCTTGCAGTGCCCCTAAGTACAGTAACTTGAACTGTCTCTCATTACCCTTGCAGTGCCCCTACGTACATTAACTTGAACTGTCTCTCATAACCCTTGCAGTGCCCCTAAGTACAGTAACTTGAACTGTCATTCATAACCCTTGCAGTGCCCCTAGGTACAGTAACTTGAACTGTCTCTCATAACCCTTGTAGTGCTCCTACGTACAGTAACTTGAACTGTCTCTCATAACCCTTGCAGTGCCCCTAAGTACAGTAACTTGAACTGTCTCTCATTACCCTTGCAGTGCCCCTACGTACAGTAACTTGAACTGTCTCTCATTACCCTTGCAGTGCCCCTAGGTACAGTAACTTGAACTGTCTCTCATTACCCTTGCAGTGCCCCTACGTACAGTAACTTGAACTGTCTCTCATTACCCTTGCAGTGCCCCTACATACAGTAACTTGAACTGTCTCTCATTACCCTTGCAGTGCCCCTACGTACAGTAACTTGAACTGTCTCTCATTACCCTTGCAGTGCCCCTACGTACAGTAACTTGAACTGTCTCTCATTACCCTTGCAGTGCCCCTACGTACAGTAACTTGAACTGTTTCTCATAACCCTTGCAGTGCCCCAACGTACAGTAACCTGAACTGTCTCTCATTACCCTTGCAGTGCCCCTAAGTACAGTAACTTGAACTGTCTCTCATTACCCTTGCAGTGCCCCTACGTACAGTAACTTGAACTGTTTCTCATAACCCTTGCAGTGCCCCGACGTACAGTAACCTGAACTGTCTCTCATTACCCTTGCAGTGCCCCTACGTACAGTAACTTGAACTGTTTCTCATAACCCTTGCAGTGCCCCTACGTACAGTAACTTAAACTGTTTCTCATAACCCTTGCAGTGCCCCTAGGTACAGTAACTTGAACTGTTTCTCATAACCCTTGCAGTGCCCCTATGTACAGTAACCTGAACTGTCTCTCATTACCCTTGCAGTGCCCCCACATACAGTAACTTGAACTGTCTCTCATTACCCTTGCAGTGCCCCTACGTACAGTAACTTGAACTGTCTCTAATTACCCTTGCAGTGCCCCTATGTACAGTTACCTGAACTGTCTCTCATTACCCTTGCAGTGCCCCTACGTACAGTAACTTGAACTGTCTCTCATTACCCTTGCAGTGCCCCTACGTACAGTAACTTGAACTGTCTCTCATTACCCTTGCAGTGCCCCTACGTACAGTAACTTGAACTGTCTCTCATTACCCTTGCAGTGCCCCTAAGTACAGTAACTTGAACTGTCTCTCATTACCCTTGCAGTGCCCCTACATACAGTAACTTGAACTGTCTCTCATTACCCTTGCAGTGTTCCTAAGTACAGTAACTTGAACTGTCTCTCATTACCCTTGCAGTGCCCCTACATACAGTAACTTGAACTGTTTCTCATAACCCTTGTAGTGCCCCTACGTACAGTAACTTGAACTGTTTCTCATAACCCTTGCAGTGCCCCTACGTACAGTAACTTGAACTGTTTCTCATAACCCTTGCAGTGCCCCTAAGTACAATAACTTGAACTGTTTCTCATAACCCTTGCAGTGCCCCTACGTACAGTAACTTGAACTGTTTCTCATTACCCTTGCAGTGCCCCTATGTACAGTAACTTGAACTGTCTCTCATAACCCTTGCAGTGCCCCTACGTACAGTAACTTGAACTGTCTCTCATTACCCTTGCAGTGCCCCTAAGTACAATAACCTGAACTGTCTCTCATTACCCTTGCAGTGCCCCTACGTACAGTAACTTGAACTGTCTCTCATTACCCTTGCAGTGCCCCTACGTACAGTAACTTGAACTGTCTCTCATTACCCTTGCAGTGCCCCTACGTACAGTAACTTGAACTGTCTCTAATTACCCTTGCAGTGCTCCTACGTACAGTAACTTGAACTGTCTTTCACAATCCTTCCAGTGCCCTTAAGTACAGTAACTTGTTTCTGTCTTTCACAACCCTTGCAGTGCCCCTAAGGACAGTAACTTGAACTGTTTCTCATAACCCTTGCAGTGCCCCTATGTACAGTAACCTGAACTGTCTCTCATTACCCTTGCAGTGCCCCCACGTACAGTAACTTGAACTGTCTCTCATTACCCTTGCAGTGCCCCTACGTACAGTAACTTGAACTGTCTCTCATTACCCTTGCAGTGCCCCTACGTACAGTAACTTGAACTGTCTCTAATTACCCTTGCAGTGCCCCTACGTACAGTAACTTGAACTGTCTCTCATTACCCTTGCAGTGCCCCTAAGTACAGTAACTTGAACTGTCTCTCATTACCCTTGCAGTGCCCCTACATACAGTAACTTGAACTGTCTCTCATTACCCTTGCAGTGTTCCTAAGTACAGTAACTTGAACTGTCTCTCATTACCCTTGCAGTGCCCCTACATACAGTAACTTGAACTGTTTCTCATAACCCTTGTAGTGCCCCTACGTACAGTAACTTGAACTGTTTCTCATAACCCTTGCAGTGCCCCTACGTACAGTAACTTGAACTGTTTCTCATAACCCTTGCAGTGCCCCTAGGTACAATAACTTGAACTGTTTCTCATAACCCTTGCAGTGCCCCTACGTACAGTAACTTGAACTGTTTCTCATTACCCTTGCAGTGCCCCTAAGGACAGTAACTTGAACTGTCTCTCATTACCCTTGCAGTGCCCCTACGTACAGTAACTTGAACTGTCTCTCATTACCCTTGCAGTGCCCCTACGTACAGTAACTTGAACTGTCTCTCATTACCCTTGCAGTGCCCCTACGTACAGTAACTTGAACTGTCTCTCATTACCCTTGCAGTGCCCCTACGTACAGTAACTTGAACTGTCTCTCATTACCCTTGCAGTGCCCCTACGTACAGTAACTTGAACTGTCTCTCATTATCCCCCGCCGCGCGAAAGCGTCGCACCTGTTTGTTGCCGCGATATCTCAAGAACTAAACACTGGATTGTCTTCATATTTGGAACTATGGTGTATATACAGACACGGCAGACACCAGTCGGTTTTGGTCACCTTGACCCCATTTTCAAGGTCACAGCAGGCAAATCTACTTTTGGAGTTGGAAAACGGTGTTGCCGTGATATCTCAAGAACTAAACACTGGATTGTCTTCATATTTGGAACTATGGTGTATATACAGACACGGCAGACACCAGTCGGTTTTGGTCACCTTGACCCCATTTTCAAGGTCACAGCAGGCAAATCTGCTTTTGGAGTTGGAAAACGGTGTTGCCGCGATATCTCAAGAACTAAACACTGGATTGTCTTCATATTTGGAACTATAGTGTATATACAGACTCCGCAGACACCAGTCGGTTTTGGTGACCTTGATCCCATTTTCAAGGTCACAGCAGGCAAATCTGCTTTTAGAGTTGGAAAACGGTGTTGCCGCGATATCTCAAGAACTAAACCTCTCGATTGTCTTCATATTTGGAACTATGGTGTATATACAGACACCGCAGACACCAGTCGGTTTTGGTGACCTTGACCCCATTTTCAAGGTCACAGCAGGCAAATCTGCTTTTGGAGTTGGAAAACGGTGTTGCCGCGATATCTCAAGAACTAATCGCTGGATTGTCTTCATATTTGGAACTATAGTGTATATACAGACACCGCATACACCTGTCAGATTTGGTCACCTTGACCCCATTTTCAAGGTCACAGCAGGCAAATCTGTTTTTGGAGTTGGAAAACGGTGTTGCCACAATATCTCAAGAACTAATCGCTGGATTGTCTTCATATTTGGTACTATGGTGTATATGGCGGGGGATATTTCGTCACTCTGTGACAAATACTTGTTACCCTTGCAGTGCCCCTAGGTACAGTAACTTGAACTGTCTCTCATTACCCTTGCAGTGCCCCTACGTACAGTAACTTGAACTGTCTCTCATTACCATTGCAGTGCCCCTACGTACAGTAACTTGAACTGTCTCTCATTACCCTTGCAGTGCCCCTAGGTACAGTAACTTGAACTGTCTCTCATAACCCTTGCAGTGCTCCTACGTACAGTAACTTGAACTGTCTTTCACAATCCTTCCAGTGCCCTTAAGTACAGTAACTTGTTTCTGTCTTTCACAACCCTTGCAGTGCCCCTAAGGACAGTAACTTGAACTGTCATTCATAACCCTTACAGTGCCCCTAAGTTCAGTAACTTGAACTGTCTTTCATAACCCCTGCAGTACCCCTAAGGACAGTAACTTGAACTGTCTTTCATAACCCCTGCAGTGCCCCTAAATACAGTAACTTGAATGGTCTTTCATAACCCCTGTAGTGCCCCTAAATACAGTAACTTGAACTGTCTTTCATAATCCTGCAGTGCCCCTAAATACAGTAACTTGAATGGTCTTTCATAACCCCTGCAGTGCCCCTAAGGACAGTAACTTGAACTGTCTTTCATAACCTTTGCAGTGCCCCTAAGGACAGTAACTTGAATTGTCTTTCATAACCCCTGCAGTGCCCCTAAATACAGTAACTTGAATGGTCTTTCACAACCCTTGCAGTGCCCCTAGGTACAGTCACATTCCAGCGGAAAGTCATTGCCCCTGGAAGATTTCCCAAGTGGGATGAGCTCGGAACAGAGTTTAGCAATCTGCATGTGTCTTCAGCTGGAACCATAGAGGATGATGGGAAGGGGATGTTACAGGTGAGACAATAGAGGATGATTGGAAGGGGATGTTACAGGTGAGACAGTAGAGAATGATGGAAAGGGGATGTTACAGGTGAGACAATAGAGGATGATGGGAAGGGGATGTTACAGGTGAGACAAGAGGATGATGAGGAGGGGATGTTACAGGTGAGACAAGAGGATGATGGGAAGGGGATGTTACAGGTGAGACAAGAGGATGATGAGAAGGAGATGTTACAGGTGAGACAATAGAGGATGATGGGAAGGAGATGTTACAGGTGAGACAATAGAGGATGATGAGGAGGGGATGTTACAGGTGAGACTATAGAGGATGATGGAAAGGAGATGTTACAGGTGAGACAATAGAGGATGACGGGAAGGAGATGTTACAGGTGAGACAATAGAGGATGATGGGGAGGGGATGTTACAGGTGAGACTATAGAGGATGATGGAAAGGGGATGTTACAGGTGAGACAATAGAGGATGATGGGAAGGGGATGTTACAGGGGAGACAAGAGGATGATGGGAAGGGGATGTCACAGGTGAGACAAGAGGATGATGGAAAGGGGATGTTACGGGTGAGACAAGAGGATGATGGGAAGGGGATGTTACAGGTAAGACAGTAGAGGATATTGGGAAGGGGATGTCACAGGTGAGACAAGAGGATGATGGGAAGGGGATGTCACAGGTGAGACAATAGAGGATGATGGGAAGGGGGATGTTACAGGTGAAACCATAGGGGATGATGGGAAGGATTTTTTCAGGTGAGGTAGGGTTGAGACAACAGAAGTGGTGACTGCAATTTCACTATTCATCATGTTTACCTTTAACTCACCTGACTGAAAGTCCGTAAACATATTTAAAATCATATTACCTTGATTTGACCCTTTTCACCTTGACCATACTGGTTTTTTATTTCTGCTAAATATATAATGAAATTTATTGTATATGTAGTTAGTGGTGTGGCTCAACACATATATTCTGTTTTTCATAAAATCATTTTGTTTGTTTTGTTTGTTGACATTAACCAGGCTCCTATGTTCTCTTAAATGCATATCCTTGCACTGTAAACGTCATCTCCTCAGAATACACTGAAAAATGAAGCTAAAAAAAATCATGTGCATGTTTTCAACAATATGTTCAAGAGGTTCTAATCTTATTATCAGTATGGTTCCCATAGTAACCAAAATAAGTGAATTCAAATGTAAAAAAATCTATGCACACTATTGTGTTGTTGTTGAAATTTTATACATCCAAGTGCCGTAGTACTATTGAGGGTACTTTTGTGTTCCTTGACAATTTTCCAAAATCTCTGAATCGAGGTGGTAAAGAAATTAAGCCATATCATTTTAAGAAGCTGACATCTAATTGGCTCAAGAACCCACGCATCTTTCACTGAGATTGTGCAGCCAAAGTTCAGTCAGGGGTCATCTGACGTGACCTTCTGTGGAGGTGTCATCAGAAAGGTATATCGGAGTAAAAGATGGCTATAAAAATTGTGTGCAAATGTTTGACTGTTAAATATTGATAATGTGCATCTCCTGCAGGTGGATTTCGCCAACAAGTACATTGGGGGCGGAGTGCTGGGGATGGGGGCAGTACAGGAGGAGATCCGCTTCCTCATCTGCCCCGAGATGATAATCACACGACTCTTCACTGAGGTGCTGGATAAGAATGAGAGTCTTATCATGCTAGGTAAATTTCTATGCTGAATTATGTATACGCATATGTGACAAATATATGTACACAAATTCACACTGTGTACACGCCAAGTTCTATGTTTATTCCTCCATAAACACTAAAAATATTGAAGTAAATACTTAAGTACCTGAAGTGTTGAAAGCTGTGCTGCACCAACTCACTCACACACTGCCATACCTGCAGGTTGTGAACAGTTCAGCAAGTACGAGGGCTATGCAGACTCCTTCACCTGGGATGGAGACTTCCAAGATCAAACTCCCAGGTACGTCAACCTCTCTCTTGTATTTCTGTTATTTAGCTGTGACCATGGCACATGAACTATATGTAGAGCTGTCATAGAAAATATGTTGTAGTAAGTTAACATTGAGCTGATAACATTCCTGTTTTGATCAACACCATTTCAGGGATTTTTTTAGACCTGCTTAGAGGCCAATATTAAAAGTCTGCGGAATTTATGAAAATATCATTTGTAAAAAAATCCAATTTTGAACAATATCACAATTGTTTTTCCCATTTTGCCAGACAAAAACACTTATCTTGAAATCCTAAAAAAAGCCCATATCGTTTAGGACAGGCACCAAGAACATTTTTCCTACTGTTCAAGGTAGAATATGTCCCAAGAGCATTGGGAAGGATTGGGTGCTTACAGTGTGGAACCTGGCTGATTGCGTGTCATGTTACGCCAACAGTGTGGATCCTTCCTAATGCTACCAACCACCATTTTGCCTGGCCTAGATTTGATTATTTAGAGCATTCGCTCACCTTCTGATTGTGACATTGCTTACAGCCTTTACCTCTTTGCCTGCTAAAATTGGAGATGTATTTCTCCTTTAACAGGGACGTAAATGGCCGTCTTCATACAGAGGTGGTTGCTATAGATGCGTTGGTTATCCGAGACAGGAAGAAACAGTTCCAGAAGTGGTGTGTGCAGAGAGAACTCAACAAGGTTCGTTTATCCCACAGCTTTCACCATGTAGCCTCAAGGTCACCAGGGGGATCAAAGCTTGTCAATATTAAAGTGATATATTATTCCCTACCATGTTAGCCGGGATCCCCCTTATTTCCCACCCTTTTAGTCTGGATCCCCCTTAATCCCTATCCTGTTAGTCAGGATCCCCATTGTTCCCTATCCTGTTCATCAGGATCCCCTTATTCCCTACCCTGTTAGCCTGGAAACCCCCTTCATCCCTATCCTTTTAGTCAGGACTCCCCTTTGTCCCTATCCTGTTAGTCGGGATCCCCTTTAATCCCTATCCTGTTAGTCGGGATCCCCTTTAATCCCTATCCTGTTAGTCGGGATCCCCCTTATTCCCTACCCTGTTTGTTAGGATCCCCTTATTCCCTACCCTGTTAGCCGGGAACACCCTTATTCCCTACCTGTTAGCTGGGATCCTCTTAAATCGCTACCCTGTTAGCCGAGATCCCCCTTATTCCCCACCCTTTTAGTCAGGATCCCCCTTATTCCCTACCCTGTTAGTCAGGATCGCCCTTATTTCCCGCCCTTTTAGCGGGATCCCCCTTATTCCCTTCCCTGTTAGTCAGGATCCCCATTATACCCTACCCTTTTAGTTGGGATCCCTTATTCCCTTCCCTGTTAGTCAGGATCCCCCTTACTCCTAGCCCTGTTAGTCAGGATCCCCCTTTGTCTGTACCAAAAGGATCCTTTGTCCCAAGTCGGGAAGCTGTCTTCCGGAAGATTGCTATTGAACATCTCCACATACTCACAGGGACATTACTATGTACCCTTGATTTGGTAATTTGAAACTCAGCACTCAGCACTTCAAAGGCTGATGTGGATTAAGGTTTCAGTGTTCAAGTGAGCAACCAGTAACCTTGATGTTATTACGCCATTGAATCAGTCAGACAGGAAACCTGGAGTATTATGTTTGTCAGGGAGTGTTTTGTGTGATGGTATTCAAAGTCTTCATGATGAACAGTTACGGGGAATATCAGCAGCTATGTATCTCTACTCACCCAGTTCTTTATACCGCAGGCGTATGTGGGATTCCACTGTGGGGAGGAGTCCGCCAAAAACCTGTCAGCAGTCTGTACCGGCAACTGGGGGTGTGGCGCCTTTGGAGGGGACAAGAGTCTGAAAGGTAGGACTCCCACTTCAAGAGACTTGTACTGCATACAGTTTGGCAGGGATTTATCTGGGATTTCAAAGTTAGGGAAAATATTTGGTTAAACATTTGGGCACATTTCTAAATTCTTATTTTCTTCAACTGGGAGTTTTTTTACCATGTCTTTGCCACTCTAATGCAAGGAATAATCCCTGTTATTCTTAAAGATATCTTTCAATTTCACTTCCAGACCTGAAATGTAACCCATCGTGCTATCATTGGCTTGTACTTGTTTGAAAAGTTGCTCACAAAGTGTTCATGTTGTGTTCAGCTCTCATCCAAATGATTGCCGCATCCGTTGCCAAGCGAGATGTCTGCTACTTCACATTTGATGACGATCAGCTGACGGACCAGCTGTACAAAATACATGCCTTCATCAAGAATGAAAACGGGTTGGAAGTTGGTATGTATGTCAGTTATGTAGTTAGAAGTAAATGGGTTCTGCTGCTTGACTGTAGGGGACTTATGCATATATGATTGTCCTTCAGTTGTCCAGCCTGTCCGACATATTGGCCACAACCTTTAAAGTGGACTTCTCATGGTTAGCCTTGTTAGAATAGTTCCTACACCATCTGTTTACACCCATTTCACAGCCAAGTAAGGATGGTACTTGGAGAGTCTTGTACCTGTTAGAGGCGATCACCCGATTCTTTCTTATTAGTATCCCGTGGGATAGGGTTGTCCGATTTGCTGACTTGGTTGATGGTTGATCTTGTGTCCCAATGGCATAGTTTGATATTCATGATGTCAATCATGGTCCAGGTTTGATCATTTACAGACTGCCATCATGTAGCTTTAATATCGTTGAGTGTGGCGTTGAACAAGGGTCAGGCCAATTCACAGCAAGTTTAAGTCAACTTACTCTGCTAATTCAAATGTTATTCTAGCAGTAAACGATCACCGAAACATTAATAGTAACAATGTCAAAGATTCATACATAGTTCTAAACTTCTACTACAATCCAGACTCTTTGCATGTCATGATACATTTATGGCATGAAGCATTGCTTGGTCAAATGGATTCAATTATTTTTCTCTTTCTCAAAAACACACACGCATACATTCTCTCTCTCTCTCTCTCTCTCTCTCTCTCTCTCTCTCTCTCTCTCTCTCTCTCTCTCGCTCAGTCACTCACTCACTCACTCACTCTGTGTACTCTGTGTTTCAGGCAATGTGATGCAGCTCATTGATCAGTACAGCCGCAATGTTATGCAGAAGATATGGTGGAACGCTAAACCAAAGAAGAACCTGTTTGAATACATAGTGGCAGCATTTGAAGGCACCCTTGATTCAGACACTACAGGGGATGACTTCAGTGAGGGAAGTCTTGAAGCCCAAGGAGACCTTGACGACAGTAACCATGGCAACGAAGAAAAAATGGAGGTTGATGAAAAGGGAATTGAGCCTGATTACAAGGCAAATACACCATAAGTGACTGGCATCAAATGGAGTTTACGTCAGCCAGATTGAATGAAGCTGTGATAAACATAAACTTGTGAAGACATGTATCATAATCACCAAGGGAGTCAGTCGGCCATCTTATCCAACCCTGACCATATTTGTAGACTCCTGTGATGAGTGTTTGCGGTTGTCTGGCAATGTATCAACCATAACTACAGAAGTATAAGCAGTGTGTGGAATAGTCTCAAAATATTGCTGTCCAGTTTCAAATTTCACTCGCTTAAAAAAGTGGCATTCTTTTTTTTTTAACCAGAAATTTGATTCTGTGAAGGTATCTATAAAATAAATCCAAATTGCAATTCATGAGTCAAACGCTATGATGGTTGGTATTTCTGATCTCGCAACGTCAGTTCACTACCAATTTAATTTGATTAGATGGGTGAACTTTTTATTTCGGTCAACTAAGACGAGTGCATAAAACATTAACAGGATCAATAGCCAGTTTGGTTTGGAACATTTGAGAATATTTATCCTGACAAAATTTTGCTAGGCATGGGCTACCAGGTTGGCAGTTATTTTGCACTCTGACTATAGGTAAATGCTAATTTGTGAGCCTGAAAGTTAGACGAGACAGAGGTGGCGACGCCATTATGTGGGTACCTGTGCCAATCTGTGGTAGTGTAGTGATGTAGCAGCTAGATTGTTGTCGTGTACACAGTAGACTCCCCAGTCTTCCTTCCTCCATACAGAAAGGGTTAGATACAGGCTGTGTGAAGATATAATCAACAAGTAGGTTGTAAAAGCCAGTGTCTCCCACCTGTCTCCACACATACACAAGGGAGGCTGCAATATCCTCATGGAGTGTCACAGTTGATATAGATTGTCAGCCACTGACTGCACCAGTCCTTACTGTGGCTTCACTTCTGTCTTGATTACACCTTGTAGAGGGTGTGTCTTGATTAATTACATGCACCAAACATACCCCACTCCATCTTCCCGAGGCAAGGGAGTTAGCTGACTGCGAAAGTCCAGTTTCCACCCTTGCTGAACTTTGTTGGAATTTTGTTGATTAATTGTAGCACCACCAGTGGCTAGTACGAGTTGTGTCTCTTCCATGTCCCTGCTACTGACCAATCAGATTCCACCTCTCACATCATTTGCATTTGCTTCAAACAAAATGGGGGTGCCCAATCAAGACGATCTGATCGATAATCAAGATCTTTATTGCAATCTTACCTCGCAAAGTGCATTCGTCATGTTGTTTACAAACTAGATGTCAATTTTGTTACGTAAGTTTGATTGGATTTGGCAGCCCCAAAATAACTCCCATCTTTCCAGCTTAGTTCGGCAAGGGCGGAAACTGGAATGTTATAGTCAGTTAACTCCCTTGCCTTGGCAAGATGACTCCCCCACTCGCTACCCACCTCGACTCGCTACTAGAGAGCCTGTCATGATTACACCCAAAAAGAAACTGCCGTGATTAATTATATGGTTACATGCACCAAACTTACCCCCCGCCCCCCTACAAACTCCCACTCCCACTTTGACTCCCCCAACAAGGGAGCATAGCTTGATTGCGTACCCCCCTCCCACACCTCTAGGTATTTGCAGTAACATCCTTCATCGGCAGCTGGACGATGTGCAGAGATTTCACGTCTCAATATTAGTCAGCATCGCATAATAACCATGAAATAATTTACCATCTGCATGAAAGACAAAAAATTACCTATGTTGCAAACTTGTTCATACATGTTTTAGTAAAACACTGTATGGAAACAAGTTATTCCAATTGTGGGTGTTCTTACACTTGTTTTGAGTAGTATATATTTTCATCATAAACGATTATATCCGTTTCAGGAGTTTCTGTACTGTTGGTATACACTCTATCCAACTTGTCAACATCATGTAGAATCATTGTGTCAATCGATGAAATACCATCGTACACCACTTTGTTAAAAATTGTTTTAGTTTTAGTTGTTTATGTTGTGTGGGACATTTTAGTCAGTACTGTACAGTTTGTGTTATTTTATCCCTTCAGGCTTTCTCATGAACTATTTTACATGGAAAACAGTTCCTTAAGTGGGGGTAGGGAATAGCTATGCCCAATAACTAGTCACAGGTAATTCACACCACCTTTTCACAGATCACAGGTAATTTTTCCAACCTTTTCAAAATCATTGATAATTATCATGTAAATTAGTTCATACTTCATCGAAATAAGAATTGATCCATTTTTACTTCAATCTAATAGTAACTACCGTATTCGACGTAATAAGCGCCCCGCTCTAATAAGTGCCCACGGCGATATTTGCTAACATATTGGCTAGTGAACAATCCCAATTAGCACCCCTTCCAATTGATCAATGTACACAAAACTTATTTATTCGCGTATAATACGCACTCGTGTCTTACATGCACCCTTAATTATGGGCAATTAAATTCTGGAAAAATATATCTGTCGTATATAAACATTTCAGGCTGTCAGCATAAACCACGAAATTTATCCTTTAACTCTGTTTTTTTCACCAAAATAATATTCTAATAAGAGCCCCCTATTTCTAATTTTGAGAGCGCCCTGGGCGCTTATTACGTCGAATATGGTTAGCCATATCATTGACAAATTTATGTGTTTGTATGTATTAAGTAGGACTGCAGCTCATATTCTTGTGACATGTAAACTTGGTAACAACTTGTCAGACGGACCATAACGGGCGTTTCTTGATAGTTTGGGGCAGTTCTATAAATTCACAACATAGAATTCTGATTTTGATATAAAAATGATAATCATGAGGAAAAAAAGACATTTCAAATAAAATGTTCAATTTATTGGCAAATTTATGATATCAGTACTGTTGAGAAGTAACGTATCACAGCTAAGTGTTAGCGTGAGATATTGAACCACTGCAATTAAAAGCGCCAATAATGTGTAACAAAATAAGTATTCCCTACCCGCATAATAGTGTTTACCTCTGTTTGTTCTTCATTACTGGGAATATATTGTCAGCAGTCAACAGTCAACAACAGACACTGGGGACATGATAGTATGCAGATAGTGTAGTATGTCAGAAGTTGAAGGTGTACATTTCCACACATTTTTAGATCATTTGACTGCTTTGTCGTCTGGTTGTCCGTCCATTGTTAACTTTTATCTTTTTGACCTCTTCTCTGAATCTACAGGCCAATGGAGCTGAAACCTTGTATGAATGATCCCATCTATGGTATCTCTGACTAGTGCTCTCATAATTTATCATTTCTTCATAATTCAGGTGGATTATCAGTAGTTTTAATGTGTGAAGTTTGAAAGCTTGAGAATGGTGCAATGGCCGCTGGGAATGGAGTCTGAAACACAGAGCCACAAGGCCCTGTAGCTCACCTGACTTATGAAGATATAATGGCAGCCATATTTAGTATCTGAATTCTATATTATGTGTTTATTTGAATAGTCACTCGATGAGCAGGCAGTACACTAATTCATGAGTTGATTTTTGTAACTGAGTAAAAACATGTATCTGACAATCATCACATTTGTTATAGTGATGTCTCCATGCATTGGGTATGTGTGTTTACCAATGTTGGCCCACATCTTTGCAGTCAGCAAGCCCCAAATGAACACAAGGTGGTTGGGTAGCCTAGCGGTGTAAACATTCACTCCTCACACCGAAGACCCGTGTTTGATTCCCCACATGGGTACAATATCTGAAGCCCATATCTTGTCTCCCGCCAAGGTGTTGCTGGAACGAAATCAGCATAAAACACAACTCACTTATTCGTAATGAACACTGGGTAAGGGGTCTCAAAGCTTATGTGCCTACACAGTTTACAAGCGTTCACCTCATAGTAACCATGAACATAAGGAAGTATGGAGGGTGTTCAGTTGAGTGATTATTTTCAACCAGTGCTTTGAAACCATTTATTTCATTCTATTTGTCTTAATCTTACATCCAGTTACCAACAAAATCAAGTTATCTGAGGATTTTCATCCCATCAGTTGGTGAAATGTTAAAGAATCAGTTGTGTAATAGTATATTGTCCATCTCTGTTTTTGTCCCAGGTTGGTGCTGACAACACTTTAAATGACGTTTTCATGATCAATACATTTCATTAACGATTGTTCCATTTTATGAGAATCATCCAATCATTATGAGAAATCTATAGACGCAGTTTCATTTTGTCATTGAAACATGATTTATGGCACCCGATATTGCTACTGTGTTGCCCTGTGGAGATTCTGGGTTGAAATAAGGCCTCAGCAGTCTATGCTTATTGACTGAATGGATTAGGTTGTCAGGCTCGGTGACTTGGTTGACCAATGGCATGGATTGTTGCTTATATCAATCACTCGATTATTTACATGCCACCATGTTATTTCTGGAATGTTTCTGACTGCAGTGTGTACAACAAAAACAGCAATAGCACAGTGAGTGAGTGAGTGAGTTGGGTTTAATGCCGCTTTTAACAGTATTCCAGTTATATCACGGCGTGTCAGCTTAATGTGGGAGGAAAGCCCAAAGTGATGCAGGTCTCAGACGTTTACCACTTCGGTGAAACCCACGAGCATGGGTATGGTGCTGACAAACCTAGAAACATAATCGGGGCAAACCGGGATTTGAACCCACAATCATAGGTTTCAGGCGTGCCCAAGGGACGCAACTCTGCACAGCGAATTGCGGCCACCCATGCACCCCAATAGCACAGATGAATGGTCACACTCACATCAGTGGATGGAGACCTAAGCCACAGTCAGCTATGTTCCAGCAATATCACCACAGGCTGTAAATAGTCCTGGCAATATGAACCATTGGTCCATTAAGATGATCAATCAACATCAACATCCCGTTGACGTATATTGTAACCACTAGGGCCTACTTGCACAAAGCAGTCTTAACGCTATAACCATTGTAACAACCATATTTATTATAGACTTGGCACAAACACTGCTTTGTGCAAGAGGGCCCAGATCCTCATCAGATGACTTTTACAACAATTGGTTGGTTTGTTGTTTAACGCCGCACTCAGCAATATTCCAGCTATATGACGGCGGTCTGTAAATAATCGAGTCTTGACCAGACAATCCAGTGATTAATATCATGAGCATCGATCCATGCATCAACCAAGATCCTGTTAATCGCCTTTTACGACAAGCATAGTCACCTTTTACGGCAAGCATGGGTTGCTGAAGACCTCTTCTACCCAGGAATCTTCACGGGTCTTTTTACAACAAGCATGGGATACTGATGACTTGTTTATCCACAGATCCATAGGACAGTCTGATATCAAGGCTGTGCAACCTACAGGTCATCGTGATCTAAGGTAGCTGAAGTATTATAGACAAAGACACAATGCATTATGCACTCACTGAACCCTCATAAAGAAGGTAGCCAATATTACCCACCTGTGTTCCACAATAGTCCTCACCACTTGATATAGAATCACGAAATATCACAATGATTAATTAACAAAGATAGCAGCATGTGTGCTAATACTTATCAAATGAAAACAAGTCTTGACAGCAATAAGGAATATTACTTACAGCAATGTACAGTAATGATTAGAAATGAAAAGTGCGCTTTTAAAAAAACCAAACCATTTTGCTGGCGATAAACATCTTCATATGATCACATTTTGATCACATGGTTACAATCTGACTGAGGATCGTCAGTCATGTGATTCTACTTTGTGATTCTATTTCATGTGGCGAGGACTATAGTTAGGACGATGTCATTCTTCTAGCAGTGTCTTGGCGTACCAATAGTAATAAGTATACCATCCATACCAATTGGCTTGTTATTGTCATGTTGGTCTGTAAATGTGGCATGTTTTTGTAAATGACTTGAAAATGTAAATAAATGTGTGTATAATTCATAAGTTATGTAAAGATCACTTAATTATTGTCATGAATAACTTATTGTGGTAGACATTGTGTGATGTGTACGATTTGTTTATGATTTTATGTCACAAATAAACATGTCCCTTTGTAATCATTTTGTGAACAACATCCAATAATAGTGAAACCATGCATCTCCTGTTGTTTTATTTGGTATCTATGCTGTTCCAAGACATCATACTACACATGTACTCACAGATAGTGCTTATGCTTTTAACCAGGGGTGCATGGTAGAGTGAGATCTACGCTGTAGGTCTTCCCGTGGCAAGGGAGTTAACTGTAAGAGTCCAGTTTAAACCCTTGCCGAACTAGGCTGGAATTTCGTCGCACAAGCGCCACCAGTGGCAATTATGAATTATGTTCCTTCTATGTCCCTCCTGTTGACCAATCAGATTTCATCTCTCATACCACTTACATTTACCTCAAACAAAATGGCGGCGATCAGTCAAGACAATCAGATCAATAATCAATGTCTTTTCAGTGATAAAATGGGTGTTACACTGGAAAGTACATCAAATCACTTGAACACCTTGACTAAAAGCATGAAAAGATTTAGAAAACATCTGTTGACGCCCAGTTGACGGTACATATCATCTGCAAATCCCACAATCGACCAAAATCCTCATGGCAGTCACCATGTTGATTACGAACTAAATGTTGATTTTTTATGCGAGTTTTATTGGACTATGCATAGACTCATTAGTTAAGCAGAAACATAACTCCATAATCCCAGCCTAGTTCGGCAAGGGTGGAAACCAGACTTTTATAGTCTGTTAACTCCCTGACAAGCAGGCTTGTTTCATTGCCCAGTTGGGGCAAACCCTGATGTTTTAATGTAACTTTCTGCAGAAAACGTAGGTTTAGATTTTACTGTGAACTTAGATTTTACTGTGGAATCCAGTTCTTTGCACAAAACATGCAAACTACTGCTTATTTTCGTGGTTGATCATCTTTTAAATATTTTGGTTGTTGAACACATTTGTATGTACTGATGTTAACACACACACACACACACACACACACACACACGCTCACACACACACACACACACACACACACACACACACATTTTCTATGATTCCTACTTTCATGAGTAATGTTAATCTTAAATCTTTGATATCTTGGTGAAAGCTCCATGATATTTTTATTATTTTTTCATTATGAAGCTTGTGATTCTGTCAATCTGGAACAGTTTGTTTCTTCTGACTTAGCATCCAGTGCATCTCCCCGAGGCAAGGATGTTAGTTTCTTATATAAGTCGAGCATACACCCTTGCCAAACTAGTCAGGAATTCCGTGGCTCAATTGTAGCACCACCAGTGGCTATTACTAGATGCATCCCTTCTGTATCCCTCCTATTGACCAATCAGATTCCACCTATCATATTTCTGGCATTTGCTATAAATAAAATTGCAGAGCCCAGTCTAGACGATCTGATCGACAATCAAGATCTATATTGTAACAAAATGGGTCTTGCCTTGAGAATTGCATCACATTACTTGAGCACCTTGATTAAATCATGAAAAGATTTGATAAGATCTGTCGATGCCCAGTTGGCGGTAAACATGCTTTGCAAATCCTGCAGTCGACTCATATCTGCCCGTCAGTTTACGAACTGGATGTCCATTTCATTACATGATTTTGATTGGACTGTGCATAGACTCGTCAGTCCAGCCAAAACAGAACTCCGAAATTCCAACCTAGTTCGGCAAGGGTAACAGGGGTTCTCTAAGCTGCATCCAGAAACCAAATAATAAGCTACATACAGTGTAGCATCCTACAACATACATACATACAGAATGTTTAGTACAGATCATTATGTCATAGATGGAAGCCTGCTAAAAGTGGCCTGAAACCCTTTTCACTCTCTCATACATGTGGCATCCAGGGTTAGAAATTGGCACTAGTCCTATAGTCCTGGCCAAACTGCCCAAAAGTAAATTAAGGTATCATAAGGACTAGTAGAAATTTGCCATTTTTAAGGGTTTTGCTATATGTTATCATTATAAGGACTAGTGGACTGAAACTGTTAGTTTCTACCGCTGGGCATCAGGTAGTGTGGTACTTAATTACAGGAGTGTGCATTTCACTGCATAATGGGAATGCAGGTTTGATAGTCATCTGAATGGCTTAAGAAACTAGTGATCAGTGTGCAAATAATGTGCAGTGCAACATTGACATGTTCATATTTCCTGTTCAGCTGCTGTGCTGATAATATTGTAACTATATTTCATTTGGATGTCAAAAATATGACATGATCTGTTTAAGGCAATGAAAATTCCACTCACATTTTGAAGTGAAAAATCGTGTTAATCTGGATAGTAGCATTCCCCATAAAATCGCCCAGGTTAACCAATTTTTGGATTAAAGAATTATGGTATTGAGTAATATAACTTTGTATTCATGCCCAGCCGTAATGGTTCAGAAGGTGGGTTTTCTGGATTGACGAGGGTCTGGACTGTCAGTACATTTATTGACATAGTCTATCACTGCCACAAGTTATTGATATTGCGGTACTAATTTCCACACTTGCATGTATTAACCTTGGTTTGAGTGCCATATTGTTGTTATATGATGCAATGTGTTCAAAGGATTTCAAATAGTTCTTTTGAGTTAAAGATTTCCATCAGACAATTGTTTGTTTACTTTTCTATAAAATTTGTTTTCAACACTATTTACATTTGTAAGGAAATCATTGATTTTAAGTATGAAAATAACATGTTTGAATTTCTTTATCAGTATTCAGTAGGTTTACCGCCAGAATGTATGGGTATATGTATATTTCGAATGTCAGTTGTAAAATATAATGCAGAATTAAATTCAATAATGTTATTTCTAAGGACAGAACTAAGCTCTGTGATGAAATAATTTGTTGTCAAACCAGTCAGAGATAATGAGATGCTTCAATAAATATTTTTTTGAAATCTGTTTTTCTTGTCAGTTTGTTTCCCATGCATAGAGGATCTTTTCCTCCTTATAATAACCTGAGACAGCCCTTTATGTTTACTTGAAAAAGCCCTTTGTCCTCCTGAAGCAGCCCTTTTTGTCCAGCTGAAGCAGCCCTTTATGTCCTCCTGAAGCAAAACCTTTATGTCCATCTGAAGCACCCCTTTATGTCCTCCTAAAACAGCCCATTATGCTCTCCTGAAACAGCCCATTATGTCCTCCTGAAACAGCCCTTTATGTCCTCCTGAAACATCCCATTATGTTCTCCTGAAACAGCACTTTATGTCCTCCTCAAACAGCCCTTTAAGTTCTCCTGAAACAGCCCTTTATGTTCTCCTGAAACAGCCCATTATGTCCTCCTGAAACAGCCCATTATGCTCTCCTGAAACAGCCCTTTATGTCCTCCTGAAACAGCCCATTATGTTCTCCTGAAACAGCCCTTTAAGTTCTCCTGAAACAGCCCTTTATGTCCTCCTGAAACAGCCCTTTATGTTCTCCTGAAACCGACCTTTATGTCCTCCTGAAACAGACCTTTATGTCCTCCTAAAACAGACCATTATGTCCTCCTAAAACAGCCCTTTATGTTCTCCTGAAACAGCCCTTTATGTCCTCCTGAAACAGCCCTTTATGTTCTCCTGACACAGCCCTTTATGTCCATCGGAAGCAGCCCTTTTTGTCCTCCTGAGACAGCACTTTATGTCCTCCTGAAACATCCCATTATGTTCTCCTGAAACAGCACTTTATGTCCTCCTCAAACAGCCCTTTAAGTTCTCCTGAAACAGCCCTTTATGTTCTCCTGAAACAGCACTTTATGTCCTCCTGAAACAGCCCTTTATGTCCTCCTGAAACAGCCCTTTATGTCCATCGGAAGCAACCCTTTATGTCCTGAAACAGCCCTTTATGTCCTCCTGAAACAGCCCTTTATGTTCTCCTGAAACAGCCCTTTATGTCCATCGGAAGCAGCTCTTTTTGTCCTCCTAAAACAGCCCTTTATGTTCTCCTGAAACAGACCTTTATGTCCTCCTGAAACAGACCTTTATGTCCTCCTAAAACAGCCCATTATGTCCTCCTAAAACAGCCCTTTATGTTCTCCTGAAACAGCCCTTTATGTCCTCCTGAAACAGCCCTTTATGTTCTCCTGACACAGCCCTTTATGTCCATCGGAAGCAGCCCTTTGTGTCCTCCTGAAACAGGGCTTTATGTCCTCCTGAAACATCCCGTTATGTTCTCCTGAAACAGCACTTTATGTCCTCCTAAAACAGCCCTTTAAGTTCTCCTGAAACAGCCCTTTATGTTCTCCTGAAACAGCACTTTATGTCCTCCTGAAACAGCCCTTTATGTCCTCCTGAAACAGCCCTTTATGTCCATCGGAAGCAACCCTATATGTCCTGAAACAGCCCTTTATGTCCTCCTGAAACAGCCCTTTATGTCCTCCTGAAACAGCCCATTATGTCCTCCTGAAACAGCCCATTATGTTCTCCTGAAACAGCCCTTTTTGTCCTCCTAAAACAGCCCTTTATGTTCTCCTGAAACAGACCTTTATGTCCTCCTGAAACAGACCTTTATGTCCTCCTAAAACAGCCCATTATGTCCTCCTAAAACAGCCCTTTATGTTCTCCTGAAACAGCCCTTTATGTCCTCCTGAAACAGCCCTTTATGTTCTCCTGACACAGCCCTTTATGTCCATCGGAAGCAGCCCTTTGTGTCCTCCTGAAACAGGGCTTTATGTCCTCCTGAAACATCCCGTTATGTTCTCCTGAAACAGCACTTTATGTCCTCCTAAAACAGCCCTTTAAGTTCTCCTGAAACAGCCCTTTATGTTCTCCTGAAACAGCACTTTATGTCCTCCTGAAACAGCCCTTTATGTCCTCCTGAAACAGCCCTTTATGTCCATCGGAAGCAACCCTATATGTCCTGAAACAGCCCTTTATGTCCTCCTGAAACAGCCCTTTATGTCCTCCTGAAACAGCCCATTATGTCCTCCTGAAACAGCCCATTATGTTCTCCTGAAACAGCCCTTTATGTCCTCCTAAAACAGCCCTTTATGTTCTCCCGACACAGCCCTTTATGTCCATCGGAAGCAGCCCTTTTTGTCCTCCTGAAACAGCACTTTATGTCCTCCTGAAACAGCCCTTTATGTTCTCCTGAAACAGCACTTTATGTCCTCCTGAAACAGCCCTTTATGTCCTCCTGAAACAGCACTTTATGTCCTCCTGAAACAGCCCTTTATGTCCTCCTGAAACAGCCCTTTATGTCCTCCTGAAACAGCCCTTTATGTTCTCCTGACACAGCCCTTTATGTCCATCGGAAGCAGCCCTTTTTGTCCACCTGAAACATCCGTTATGTCCACCAAATCAAACTCTGCCTCACAAACACTTTGATTAGTAAGAACATGGACCAAGACCTTTAAATTACCAATGATAGCATGTTTTTACTGTATTTGCCATAACAAGTACATCAGCCGCTTAGAAAATTGTTCTAACATTCATGATACTAAAAGTTAGACAAGATGATTAACAAGTTAATTGCATCTTATAGTTACCATAAATACTGTAATAAATACAGTATTGTTGAGGGAGATTTTCTCATGATTATGACAACCTGGAATTGACAAAAACAGGCTATATATTTTACCCTTGATCCTGTGCACTTTCAGTGATTCAGTAAACAATGACCCACATCTTAATTCCTCGGTTGTGTAGTGCAACGATTGAAAGAAACTAATCTGAGACCATCATAATACCAAGAATAAAATTCTCAGACATGTCCGTTGTCAAGTTGCTTTTTTTTTTTGTAGATATGTATTTTAAAAAATTAAATACGACAAGGTAATTTTTCATGCATTGTATTTTATGTATAAATGTGGATTGTACACAAGAAAATACACGCTGTTTTTATGGTGCTTTCACAAATTACTTGCAAATTGGCATAAATATTGGTGGGCACTTATTGGCAAATACAGTACTTGGGAGTATTGCAGTTTACCTGATAATGATGTACAGCGATCCAGAGCAAGACCAGTCCCCTGACCTAACTCAGTGTTGGTGCATGATGAGGATCAATGGCAGCAAGCAGTGCAGTGTGCTGTGCAGAGTTGCATCACTTAGCCATGCCAGGATCCGATGATACAATAAGGTTTGCCAGTAATGATCCTTCGGCTGTCAGCCCCATACTAACACATTATTAAGTGTTGAGTTTTCTAGAAAGTAATTATGATGAAGGTCTGGTTACAATTAATTATCATTGTGACTTTAACATCTTTAACTAACTTTGTATTCAGGATCTCTAGGGTAAGTGTACAACTTTAACACTTAAGTTAAACATGAAGTTAAGGAGTATCCATAAATGGTAATTTCAAAGGTCAGTCATCCTTAAGGTCATAGCCTGAAGCAAAGTCTGTTTAACAATAACTACAAGCATTTACTGTATGCCAATGAAACTTGGTACATGTACGCTGTCAAGGACATTTACACATTGTATAATCACAATTAATGCATACTTAGCATCAGAGACTTCAAAATTATGTGAATGTATTCATCTGCTGGAAGGTTGGTGCAGATGCCCGGTGGTCTAGTTAATTCATCAGAACTCACTGCGCAGAAGTATGCCCCTTAGTTGTGCCAGGATATGCTGAGGATAGATTTAACTTTGCCCTGACTATGATCCTTGGTTTGTCAGCACTACACCAATGTTTGTGGGTTTCACCAAAGTGATAATTTACAAGCAGTAATGATCTGCCCTGTCACCTAACACACTACAATCTCCTTTGTAGAGTTGCGGGCCGGAAACCTATGATCATGGCTTTTGGATCCCAGTTCGCCTTGATTATCTTTCTAGGCATCTTCCCGAGGCAAGGGAGTTAACTGACTGTAGACGTCAAGTTTCCACCCTTGCCAAACTAGACTGGAATTTTCGTGGCTCGATCACAGCACCACCAGTAGCTATTATGTGTGATGTCCCTTCTATGTCCCTCCTTTTGATGAATCAGATTTCACCTCTCATATCACTTGCACTGCTGACAAAATGGGACCCAATCAAGACAATCTGTTCAGTAATCAAGATCTTTATTGTAATAAAATGGGTTCTACCTCACGAAGTACATCACATCACTTGAGCACCTTGATTAAAAGCATGAAACGATTTGGAAAACAATTGTCAATATCCAGTTGATGGTCCACATGATCTGCAATCTGCAATCGATTGAAATCTACACGGCAGACATGTTTATGGACCGAATGTCACTTTTGGTATGCGATTTTGATTGGACTATGCATTGACTCGTTAATCCTGCCAAACTTCATAATTCCAGCCTAGTTTGGCAAGGGTAGAAACTGAACTTTTTATAGTCAGTTAACTCCCTTGCCTCAGTGAAAACTGAACTTTTTATGGTCAGTTAACTCCCTTGCCTTGGGAGGATGCTTTCTAGGTTTGTCAGCACCATACTGTGCCCATGGGCTTCACCAAAGAGTTAAATGTCTTAGACCTGCATCACTTTGGACTTTCCTCCCACATTTATCTGACACAACCTCATATGACTCAGAGCCTCATTAAACCAAATTCACTCATTTTCCTCATTAAAATGTAATTGTAAAAACCCAAGTCCCAAAGTAAGACCATACAATATGTTACATGTCACAGTTATTAGACAGCCTCCGTGGTCTAGTGGATAGAACATCTGCCCAGAGAGTGGAATGTCAGTTCATTCCCCTCTTACCATCTCTTACTAAAACATGTAAAAAAAATGGTAGTTGTTGTTACCCTGCCTGGCACTCAACATTAAGGGGATTACACATGGACTGGTCGGCTTGGAATCAATACACTTTGTCTGAGTGGGGTATCCATGTCAAAGTGTGGCTAGCATCTCAGAGTGCTAGCACTATAAAAGGGATATTAGTCTGCACACACACTCACATGCATTCACGTTGCTATAAATGCAATAATCTTGAACATGACATTAAACCCCATGTCTACTCGCAGT